TACCTTTACACACCATCCCAAACTCGTCCACTAACCTTTGCAACTTTTCTTTAGAATCACACATAAGCACAGCATCATCAGCAAAAAGTAACTGTGTCAACTCCCATTTTGTATCTGATTCCTCATAATTTAATCCCACCCCTCTCCTCAACACCCTAGTACAGTGTTTTTACTTCTTTTACCAGCCCATCTATAAATATATTAACCCTTTGACTGTCGCAACCCCAAATCTTGAAGTGTCTCCTGGTGTCGCAAAATATTTGTAAAAAAAAAAAAAATGATTTTTCCTTACGAAATGATAAAGAATCTTTTCCCAATGATAATGACACAAAAGTATGAAATTTGAAGGAAAACTTATGGAATTACACTCTTGCAAAGTTAGCGGCCTCAGTGACACTTACGCATCGGCGATTTCGCCCAGTTTGAGCCCTATTTTCGGAAAATTCCATTGTTCCAGTCGACCAAACTCATAACTATTTCTTTAGAACTCCATTTGTTCTATTGAGTGAGTACAAGAAATTGCCAATTTACCAATTTCAGCTACCCAATAAAGTGATCAGAAATTGGCAATTAAGCCAATTTCATGCAAATTAAAAAATATGTCAATTTCAAAATAGGGTCCAGAATGAACAATGCAGACATTCCTGGCACTAAAATAACATTTTATTTGTTCATCAGTCATGTCTCCAGGCCCTTGTTATAATGCTCTTGCTTTCTACTTTGAATTTTTAATCACACAAATAATAGAAGATTTACTGTTATGCAGACTACTGCAGTTTTGTAATAATTGTATAAATAATGTCAACCCATTCGTAACTGTGTATCAGAATGGCAAGCTGAACATTTATTGGACAATGACGTCATTTGTTTACTCTTGAACATCAGCAAAAATTGAACATTTCTGCCACTTTGAGCTCCATTTCAAGATCCTTTTCATAGTAAAACCAATCAAAACCACTTCTAGTTCTATAACATGTTTTCCGTTCTATCAAATGAGACCAAGAAAACAAGAATATAACCATAAATACTATACGAAAATACACCTCAAAGTCAGCATTTTAATAAAAAAACACAGAGCTTTTTTTTCTCATTATGCACTGCGTGCTGCAGGATTTTTTTTTTATACTGTGCACACTGACAACACAGACTCATGCTCTCACATGTGGGCCTACCAGCTTTCTCCTGCTTGATTTGAAGCCGCTAGAATTTTTGAGTATATATACGTCAAACTCACTGGCTCGTAAGACATGTATATATGACTAAAACAGTCGAAGGGTTAAACAACCATGGTGACATCACACACCCCTGTCTAAGGTCTACTTTTACAGGGAAGTAATCTCCCTCTCTTCTACATACCCTAACCTGAGCCTCCTCATAAAAACTCTTTACAGCATTTAGTAACTTACTACCTATTCCATATACGTACTTGCAACATCTGCCACATTGCTCCCCTATCCACTCTATCATATGCCTTTTATAAATCCATAAATTCAATGAAAACTTCCCTACCTTTATCTAAACAATGTTCATATATATGCTTCAATGTAAACCCTTAATCTACACATCCCCTACCCACTCTAAAGCCTCCTCGCTCATCCTGAATCCTACTTTCTGTCTTACCTCTAATTCTTTCAATTATAACCCTACCATACACTTTTCCTGGTATACTCAGCAAACTTATTCCCCTGTAATTTTTACAATCTCTTTTGTCCCCCTTCTCTTTAAATAAAGGAACTATACATGCTCTCTGCCAATCCCTAGGTACCTTCCCCTCTTCCATACATTTATTAAACAGAAATACCAATCACTCCAACACTATATCCCCCCCTGCTTTTAACATTTCTGTCATGATCCCATCAGTTCCAGCTGCTTTACCCCCTTTCATTCTATGTAATGTCTCACGCACCTCCCCCACACTCACATCCTGCTCTTCTTCACTCCTAAAAGACGTTATACCTCCCTGTCCAGTGCATGAAACTACCGCCTTCCTTTCTTCGCCGACATTTAAAAGTTCCTCAAAATATTCCCGCCACCTGCCCAATACCTCCAGCTCCCCATCTACTAACTCCCCTACTCTGTTTTTAACTGACAAATCCATTCATTCCCTAGGCTTTCTTAACATGTTTATCTCACTCCAAAATTTTTTCTTATTTTCATCAAAATTTCTTGACAGTGCCTCTCCCACTCTATCATTTGCTCTCCTTTTGCACTCTCTCACTACTCTCTTCACCTTTCTTTTACTCTCCATATACTCTGCTCTTCTTATAACACTTCTGCTTTGTAAAAACCTCTCATAAGCTACCTTTTTCTTTTTTATCACACCCTTTACTTCATCATTCCACCAATCACTCCTCTTTCCTCCTGCACCCACCCTTCTATAGCCACAAACTTCTGCCCCACATTCTAATACTGAATTTTTAAAAATATTCAAACCCTCTACAACCCCCCCCCCCCACTACTCATACTTGCACTAGCTCACCTTTTTGCCAATAGATGCTTATATCTCACCCTAACTTCCTCCTCCCTTAGTCTATACACTTTCACCTCTCTCATATTTGTTCCCATTTTCCTTTCATCCCATTACCTCTTACTCTAACTGTAGCTACAACTAAATAATGATCCGATATATCAGTTGACCTCAATAAACATGTACATCCTGGAGCCTATCCATCAACTTTTTATCCACCAGTACATAATCTAGCAAACTACTTTCATTACTTGCTATATCATACCTTGTATACTTATTTATCCTCTTTTTCATAAAATATGTATTACTTATTACCAAACCTCTTTCTACACATAGCTCAATTAAAAGCTTCCCATTTTCATTTACCCCTGGCACCCCAAATTTACCTACTACTCCCTCATCAACATTTTTACCCACTTTAGCATTGAAATCCTCAACCACATGTACTCTCATACTTGGTTCAAAACTCCCCATGCACTCACTCAACATTTTCTAAAATCTCTCTCTCTCCTCTACACTTCTCTCTTCTCCAGCTTACTATAACCCACTTTTCACATCCAAAAAAATAATAACTGCTATTCATTAACTTCCCTTCATCCATAGCATTCATAAACAGTTCATTCATAACAGTCATGCTAGGTACAATCATGTACATTTAAGCAACTTAAAAAAATAAGTACAGTGGAACCTCGGTTTTCGTGATTAATTCATTGCAAAAACTCTGACAAAAACTGAATTGTATGAAAATTGAAGTAATATTTCCCATAAGAAATAATGTAAATCCAATTAATCCATTCCAGACACCCAACAATATTAAAAAAAAATACATTTTCTAGAAATAACTATAGTTTTACATACAAGAAACAATGAGAAATAAATATAAATGACTAATGAAATGGATAAATGAACAGTTAACATCACTTCTACCTTTATTGATGACTTTTGTTGGTGTATGGAATAGGGCAAGGAGGGGAGAGGGAGGAGGAGAGGTTACTGTTTGGAAGGGAAATCCCCTTCCATAAGGACTTCAGGTATTAAGGCCCTATCCAAGGTTACTGCCCTTCTTTGTCTTTTACTGGCATGAGGACCAGCTTGAGAGTCACTGGACTCCTGTCGCACAAAAAATTTGTCCAGAAAGGTCTGCTTCTGGCATCTCTTTAAGATTTGCCTAAAATGGGACAAGGCATTGTCATTGAACGTGTTGCAGACACAGCTTGCAACAGCTTTGCTAGGGTGATATATCTCCACAAAACTTTGCAACTCATTCCACTTTGCACACATGTCCTTAAGTACATTCTCCTCTCTTTCTTCCTCCTCCTCTGAAGCAATTTCCTCAGCTGTGGTCTGTTGCTGCTCCAGCTGAAGGTCTTGCAGCTCTTCAGTGGTTAGCTCTTCCCTGTGGTCGTCCAGCAACTCTTCCAAATCCTGGCCACTCATATCCAATCCCATGGACTTCCCCAAAGACACAATAGATTCTACAATAGGCATAGGTTCATCTGGGTCAGCCTCAAACCCTTCAAAATCCTTCTCGAGGACACATTCTGGCTACAATTTTCTCCAAGCAGAGTTCATTGTCCTGGAAGTCACTCCCTGCCAAACCTTATCTATAAGGCTTATGCAATTGAGGATATTGAAGTGATTTCTCCAGAATTCTCTTAGGTGGATGCATTTAGTACGGTGGACCATTGTCAACTCTATGAAAACCAATTGGATGTACAAAAACTGGGACAAAAATTCAACGAAAGAAGTCGTCAAAAACCAAATCCTACGAAAACCAGGGCATACGAAAACCAAGGTTCCACTGAACTGTAATTTGATAGATAAAAGGGCTACCAGCAGCCTTCTCCTCTCATTTTAGTCACCTTGTATAACAAGCATTACTTAAAGAGAACCTATTGTAACCAACTTTCCCATGAATTTAAAATGGAATCATTAAAGGGATAGAAACTGTTAATAAATACATGTACTGTATACATAGTCATATCCTAGGTAGTAGGTTGGTAGACAGCAACCACCCAGGGCAGTACTACCGTCCTGCCAAATGAGTGTAAAACGAAAGCGTGTAATTATTTTACATGATGGTAAGATTGCTGGTGTCCATTTTTCTGTCTCATAAACATGCAAGGTTTCAGGTACGTCTTGCTACTTCTACTTACACTTAGGTCACACTACACATACATGTACAAGCATATATATACACACCCCTCTGGGTTTTCTTCTATTTTCTTACTAGATCTTGTTCTTGTTTATTTCCTCTTATCTCCATGGGGAAGTGGAACAGAATTCTTCTTCTGTAAGCTATGCATGTTGTAAGAGGCGACTAAAATGCCAGGAGCAAGGGGCTAGTAACCCCTTCTCCTGTATAAATTACTAAATTTAAAAAGAGAAACTTTCATTTTTTTTTTGAGCCACCCTGCCTCGGTGGGATACAGCCGGTTTGTTGAAAGAAGAAAGAAGAATAGTACTGTACTTTTCTAATAGGCCAATATCAATAAAGCACAAAGTGAAAAACAACATTAAGCAAACACACTACAAATGAGCAAAATGGCAGTGCAAAACTTAATTTCATACCATTAATGGCTGAAACATTTATTCTGGATGATGCAGATCCCTTGCGAGTGCTGTATCTGTACTTGGTAACTGCCTTAGTTTCCTGTAGATCATCTTCACTCATGCTTTCTGAGGGAACTGTTAAAAAATGCTGAATCAGAAACAAACAGCAGTTGTTTATTATACAGTATACAGTCTTTATAATACTGATAAATGTGTTACTCTACTCTTTCCTTTGTGTTCATTTTTTTATCTTCAGAAGTTGCTACATATTTTGGAAACTGTATTGCTTAATTTGTTTACATAAAAAAAAATTAAAGCATAAGTCAAAACAACAATAAATGTTCTAAACTGTCGCTTACTTGTTTTGAGCACCTAACTGCAACCTTTCCATGGCTTCTGGCCACAAAATCTTGTGTGTGCTTTTTTTTTTTTTTTTTTTTTAGAAAAAAATTTTGAACATTCATTATGAGTAAGACATGAGGACAGGCTGACTACTCTCCCTCTACTCCAGACACAGCTGACTGGTCCCTTCCAATCACTAACCTTGCAACAACCCACTTTGAATAGGAACTACAAAGGGCCAAGCACAAGAGGACTATGACATCAGCATAAGTAGTAAAAGATGACATCTTTATAAGAGACTGCACTAGAACTATAAAAAACGATGCAAAAGTAAAAATTATATAACAAATGCTGAAAACCATGTTAAGAGAAAGGTAAGTGCTGAAAATAATAAAAATGAATATAACTGAAAATACATATTTTTTTTTTTCAACAAGTCAGCCGTCTCCCACCGAGGCAGGGTGACCCAAAAAGAAAGAAAATCCCCAAAAAGAAAATATTTTCATCATCATTTAACACTTTCACCTCACTCACACACAATCACTGCTTTTGCAGAGGTGCTCAGAACACAACAGTTTAGAAGCATATACGTACAAAGATACACAACATATCCCTTCAATTGAGCTCTGTGTAGAAAAAGGTTTAGTAATAAGTAATATATATTGTATGAAAAAGAGGATAAATAAATATACAAGGTATGATATAGCACGTAATGAAAGTAATTTGTTAGATTATGTATTGGTGGATAAAAGGTTGATGGGTAGGCTCCAGGATGTACACGTTTATAGAGGGGCAACTGACATATCGGATAATTATTTAGTTGTAGCTACAGTTTGAGTAAGAGGTAGATGGGAAAAGAGGAAAATGGCAACAACAAGTAAGAGGGAGGTGAGAGTGTAAAAACTAAGGGAGGAGGAAGTTCAGGTGAGATATAAGCAACTATTGGCAGAAAGGTGGACTGGTGCAAGTATGAGCAGTGGGGGGGTTGAATAGGGTTGGAATAGTTTTAAAAATGTAGTATTAGAATGTGGGGCAGAAGTTTGTGGTTCTAGGAGGGTGGGTGCAGGAGGAAAGAGGAGTGATTGGTGGAATGATTAAGTAAAGGTTGTGATAAAAGAGAAAAAGTTAGCTTATGAGAGGTTTTCACAAAGCAGAAGTGTTATAAGAAGAGTAGAGTATATGGAGAGTAAAAGAAAGGTGAAGAGAGTGGTGAGAGAGTGCACTGTCAAGAAATTTTAATGAAAATAAGAAAAAATTTTGGAGTGAGTTAAACAAGTTAAGAAAGCCTAGGGAACAAATGGATTTGTCAGTTAAAAACAGAGTAGGGGAGTTAGTAGATGGGGAGAGGGAGGTTTTGGGTAGATGGCGAGAATATTTTGAGGAACTTTTAACCCGTAAACGGTCCAAACGTATATATATGTTTTTTCAACATTTGAAAGTATGTAAAAAAAGTAGATCTTCTTTTTGTTTTTTACATTTGAAAATGTGTAAAAAAACTTTGATCTACTTTTTTTTTTTGTTATATTTGAAAATATGTAAAAAAAAACGTAGGTCTACTTTTGTAGCACTACACATGTGAACATAGATCTGCTTGGACCGTTTACGGGTTAAATGTCGACGAAGAAAGGGAGGCGGTAATTTCATGCATTGGACAGGGAGGTATACCATCTTTTAGGAGTGAAGAAGAACAGGATGTGAGTGTGGGGGAGGTGCATGAGGCATTACGTAGAATGAAAGGGGGTAAAGCAGCTGGAACTGATGAGATCATGACAGAAATGTTAAAAGCAGGGGTGGATATAGTGTTGGAGTGGTTGGTATTTTTGTTTAATAAATGTATGAAAGAGGGGAAGGTACCTAGAGATTGGCAGAGAGCATGTATAGTCCCTTTATATAAAGGGAAGGGGGACAAAAGAGATTGTAAAAATTATAGAGGAATAAGTTTACTAAGTATACCAGGAAAAGCGTATGGTAGGGTTATAATTGAAAGAATTAGAGGTAAGACAGAATGTAGGATTGCGGATGAGCAAGGAGGTTTCAGAGTGGGTAGGGGATGTGTAGATCAAGTGGTTACATTGAAGCATATATGTGAACAGTATTTAGATAAAGTAGGGAAGCTTTTATTGCATTTATGATTTAGAAAAGGCATATGATAGAGTGGATAGGTGAGCAATGTGGCAGATGTTGCAAGTATATGGAATAGGTGGTAAGTTATTAAATGTTGTAAAGAGTTTTTATGAGGATAGTGAGGCTCAGGTTAGGGTGTGTAGAAGAGAGGGAGACTACTTCCCGGTAAAAGTAGGTCTTAGAAAGGGATGTGTAATGTCACCATGGTTGTTTAATATATTTATAGATGGGGTTGTAAAAGAAGTAAATGTTAGGGTGTTCGGGAGAAGGGTGGGATTAAATTATGGGGAATCAAATACAAAATGGGAAATGACACAGTTGCTTTTTGCTGATGATACTGTGCTTATGGGAGATTCTAAAGAAAAATTGCAAAGGTTAGTGGACGAGTTTTTGAGTGTGTGTAAAGGTAGAAAGTTGAAAGTGAACATAGAAGAGAGTAAGGTGATGAGGGTATCAAATGATTTAGATAAAGAAAAATTGGATATCAAATTGGGGAGGAGGAGTATGGAAGAAGTGAATGTTTTCAGATACTACTTGGGAGTTGACGTTTCGGCGGATGGATTTATGAAGGATGAGGTAAATCATAGAATTGATGAGGGAAAAAAGGTGAGTGGTGCATTGAGGTATGTGTGGAGACATAAAACATTATCTATGGAGGTAAAGAAGGAAATGTATGAAAGTATAGTAGTACCAACACTCTTATATGGGTGTGAAGTTTGGGTTGTGAATGCAGCAGCGAGGAGGCAGTTGGAGGCAGTGGAGATGTCCTGTCTAAGGGCAATGTGTGGTGTAAATATTATGTAGAAAATTCGGAGTGTTGAAATTAGGAGAAGGTGTGGGGTTAATAAAAGTATTAGTCAGAGGGCTGAAGAGGGGTTGTTGAGGTGGTTTGGTCATTTAGAGAGAATGGATCAAAGTAGAATGACATGGAAAGTATTTAAATCTGTACGGGAAGGAAGTGGGGTATGGGTCGTCCTCGAAAAGGTTGGTAGGAATGGTAAGGGAGGTTTCGTGGGCGAGGGGCTTGGACTTCCAGCAGGCGTGTGTGAGCGTGTTCGATAGGAGTGAATGGAGACGAATGGTATTTGGGACCTGACAATCTGTTGGAATGTGAGCAGGGTAATATTTAGTGAAGGGATTCAGGGAAACCGGTTATTTTTATATAGCCGGACTTGAGTCCTGGAAATGGGAAGTACAATGTCTGCACTCTAAAGGAGGGGTTTGGGATATTGACAGTTTGGAGGGATATGTTGTGTATCTTTATACGTACGTGTATATGCTTCTAAGCTGTTGTGTTCTGAGCACCTCTGCAAAAACAGTGATTATGTGTGAGTGAGGTGAAAGAGTTGAATGATGATGAAAGTATTTTCTTTTTGGGGATTTCCTTTCTTTTTGGGTCACCCTGCCTCGCTGGGAGACGGCCAACTTGTTAAATAATAAAAAAAAAAAAAAAAAAAAATAAGTGCCATATTAGCAAAGTTCTCTAATACGAAGTATGGTATTAATGATGCATGCCTGTATGTATTTGAATTAATGAGGTATTGTACAGGTGTACCTAATAAAGTGGCCACTGAGAGCATAATTTTGAATTCAAACTAATTAAATATCACTGGAACAAGACTATTAACCCTTTCAGTTTCTGTGACATATATCTATGATATTGATGGCAGAGTCCATCACATAGATCTACGTCATGAGCTCAGCTCTCTAAAATAAGCCGTGAGTAGTAAATTTTGGCTTAGATATGGGAGAATGGGTCTGTCTGGTTAGTATGCACAATATAAAAAAAATCGTGCCTCAAACGGTGCATGATGGGAAAAGCAAACTTCTGACCTTGTGTTAGGTAAAGCAGCTGGGATTAATGGGATAAAGATAGAAATGTTAAAAGGAGGTGGAGATATAGTTTTGGAGTGGTTAGTTTTTATTTAATAAAAGTATGGAAGAGGGTAAGGTACCTAGGGATTGGCAGAGAGCATGCATAGTTCCTTTGTATAAAGGCAAAGGGAACAAAAGAGAGAGTGTAAAAATGATAGAGGAATAAGTTTGTTGAGAGGTACTACCGTCCTGCCAAGTGAGTGTAAAATGGAAACCTGTAATTGTTTTACATGATGGTAGGATTGCTGGTGTCTTTTTTCTGTCTCATAAACATGCAAGATTTCAGGTACATCTTGCTACTTCTACTTACACTTAGGTCACACTACACATACATGTACAAGCATATATATACACACCCCTCTGGGTTTTCTTCTATTTTCTTTCTAGTTCTTGTTCTTGTTTATTTCCTCTTATTTATCTCCATGGGGAAGTGGAACAGAATTCTTCCTCCGTAAGCAATGCGTGTTGTAAGAGGCGACTAAAATGCCGGGAGCAAGGTGCTAGTAACCCCTTCTCCTGTATAATAATTACTAAATTTAAAAAGAGAAACTTTTGTTTTTCTTTTTGGGCCACCCTGCCTTGGTGGGATACAACCGGTTTGTTGAAAGAAGAAAGAAGATCTGGTAAAGTGTATGGTAGAGTTATTACTGAAAGGAATATGAGTAAGATGGATAGCAGGATAGCAGATGAACAAGGAGGCTTTAGGAAGGGTAGGGGGGTGTGTAGACCAAGTGTTTGCAGTGAAACATATAGGTATTTAGATAAGGGTAAAGAGGTTTTTGCGGCATTTATGGATTTGGAAAAAGCGTATGATAGGGTGGAAAGGGGGGGCAATATGGCAGATGTTGCAAATGTATGGAATAGGAGGTAGGTTACTGAAAGCAGTGAAGAGTCTGTACGAAGATAGTGAGGCTCAGGTTAGGGTATGCAGGTGAGGAGATTATTTCCAAGTAAAAGTAGGCCTAGACAGGGCTGTGTGATGTCACTATGGTTGTTCAACATATTTATAGATGAAGTTTAAGAAGTGAATGCTCAGGTGTTGGCAGAGGCTGGTTGATGAGCTTGGTAGTGTATGTAAAAGAATGAAGTTAAAAGTGAATATAGGAAAGAGTAAGATGATGAGAATAACAAACAAATCAGGTAATGGAAGATTGGATATCAGATTGGAGGGAGAGAGTATGGAGGAGGTGAATGTATTCAGATATTTGGGAGTGGACGTGTCAACAGATAGGTCTACGAAAGATGAAGTAAATCACAGAATTGACGAGGGGAAAAAGGTGAGTGGTGCACTGAGGAGTTTGTGGAGACAAAGAACTTTATCCATGAGAGCAAAGAGGGAATGTATGAGTAAAGTTATACCAATGCTCTTGTATGGGTGTGAGGCATGGGTTGTGAATGTTGCAACAGGGGAAAGGCTGGAGGAAGTGGAGGTGTCATGTACTAAGGGCAATGTGTGCTGTGAATATAATGCAGAGAATCCATAGTTTGGAGATAAGAAGGAGGTGTGGGATTACCAAAACAATTATCCAGAAGGCTGAGGAGGGGTTGTTGAGATGGTTTGGACATGTAGAGAGGCTGGAATGAAGAAGAATGACTTCCAGAGTGTATAAATCTGTAGTGGAGGAAAGGCGGGGTAGGGGTCAGCCTAGGAAAGGTTGGAGGGAGGAGGGCAAAGGAGGATTTGTGTGTGAGGGGCTTGGACTTCCAGCAAGCGTGCATGAGCGTGTTAGATAGGAGCGAATGGAGACAAATGGGTTTTAGAACTTGAAGTGTACAGTGCCAGCACTATGAAGGAGGGGTGTTATGTTGCAGTTTTATAACTGTAGTGTAAGCATGCCTCTGGTAAGACAGTAATGGAGTGAATGATGATGATGAAAGTTTTTCTTTATCAGGCCACCCTGCCTTGGTGGGAAAGGCCAATGTGTTAATAAGAAATAAATAAAAATTTAATTTCTGATGCAGTGGACCTATAAACCAGTGGAAGGTCTCAGTAAAATGACCAAAATCTCCATGCAGTGAGTCATCATGACTAAAATTAGCATCAGGAGAAAGTTTTCCTCTAAAAAAAATAATAACAAAATACTTGCATATAATTTGGCCTACTTAAGTGTGAGGTCAAAATAATACAGGGCTTGTTTGTACTACAGGTACAAAATTATCTGTCTTTTACCCTACTGTTAAAGACAATTTTCAATGAACCTCAGAGTCAAGTAGAGGCTGTAGACTGTTTTGTATTTGATAGGATTAGAAACAAACCTAGCTTCCTTTTCTTTCCTTTGGCTTCCCCTCCTCGGGTTTTTCTTTTTTCTTTCTTCTCTTTCTTTTTTTGTGACAGATCTCCATCACATGGTATATAATCTGGATCTTCAGTAGAGGCAGCATCTTGAGGCCCTGCTGTGTCTTCCTCAAGGTCGTCTATGTATTCATCTATTTCTTCTTTGACATCTAATTCATCATCAGAAGTTGTTTTGGCCTGAAATGAATTAATTAGCTTAAGTAACATTAGACCTTCTGAACTCAATTTGGAGGCTAAGTTATTAGTCCTAATACACTACCTTCATATTTCAAGATGGTCATAAACCCCTACACAATGCAACATCACATAGAACAATTTTGGGTAAATACAATTGAAAAAGTGCATACAAAATTTCTTGGTGTGCTAAAATATTTGATAGTACTTGCACTAAATATTTATTTTTAAGTAATGAATAGAATTTGGGTAGTTCCCTCAGTAGATTTTCTTAATTTACTCACCACACTATAAGTGGCAATCCCAAAATATGAAAATTAAAATGTGTTTCACAAGACAGCATTCATATTTTCAAAATTTATATAAAACATCTGTATAGAAAGTTCAAAGAGAATATTCAGTGTGCATTAACATCAAAAGTTCAGTATCATAAATACGCATTTCTGTGCCTTTTACAGTGAAGTATATAATGTGCCTGAATTTCTGCAACTGAACATGTTCACTGGTGGTGCCAAGGGGCCTTCAGCCTCCCCAATATTACCTCAGTTCCCAAATGAAAAATAGTAATAATAAAACTTCTTCAAAATAAGTTACCTAACTCTCAACCAGATAGCCATCTTTAAGCCCTTCCAGTACAGAAATTTTGTTTTAAACAGTGGAGTAAGGAGAAAGATGGTGGCAGTAAAGATGTCACGACTGTGGTGTGAATATTATGCAGAGAATTCATAGTTTGGATATTAGAAGGAGGTGCAGTTATCAAAAATACTATCCAAAGGGCTGAGAAGGAATTACTGAGATGATTTTGAAAGGGTGGAGGGGATGGGGGGGGGGGAATTAAGGAAGTTTTGTATGCAAGGGGCTTGGACATCCAACAGGCATGTGTGAACATGTTAGATAGGAGCGGAGGCAAGTGGTTTTTATGACTAAATGTGCTGTTGGAGTGTGAGCAAAGTAACATGAAAGGATTTAAGGAAACCGGTTTGCTGTACTTGAGTCCTGGAGGTGGGAAGTACAGTGCCTGCATTCTGAAGGAAGGGTTGGGATATTTGCAGTTTAGAGGGGCATGAGCTCTAGTGGTGGCACACCTCTGGCAAAAAAAACTGATGGAGTGATAGTGAAAGTTTTTTTTTTTTTTTTTGGAGGGGGGTCTCACCATACCTTGATGAGAGGAGGCCAGTGTTAAAAAAATTAAATTGAAGGAAGTATTACATTAAGAATTTTCTTAATTTTTCCTTTGCCACTTGTCAGGTGACAGCTTCGGTCTTAATGTTATAAAGTATTGACATGACTGTCTGTTAAGCGTGGTACCCAGACAATATTTTGCTCTATTAGAGCTTAATCAAGTCCTACTTTATCAAGTTGTATTGTTCAATAAAGCTTCAAGAGAGCAGTGTTCAAATAAAAGATCTGATCTGCAATATGCGTCCTTTCTTCGATATTGACAGAAGGATGCCATTCGGATCCAAGTACTCACCGGATAAATGAATGTCCACTCTACTCAAAACAGTGCACCAGGAGCATAGTCCTGTTCCTGTAACTATGAATAAATAATGGCATACAATAAACAAGTCATTAATATAATTTCTTACCATTTCAAATTCTACTTTAGAGGAATCTTTTTTCTTGGTTTCTTTGGAAGTAGATACTCCTTTAGAAGGCCCTTGGTGTTTTTTCTCTCCTGTCTTGCCACGAGACTCGCTGGAACTGCCAGACACCAACCCACGAGATAACTTTTTGGATAAAATATCTTGTTTGAGTACTTTGTCTATAGGTGGAGAGGCTGGAGTAGGAGAAGCATTTGTTTCCAGGTGATCTCCAACAGTACGTGCATAAGCCAGGTCTGCAACATTTGGTGCCCAGCTGCTGCTTTTCTTCAGGATTTCTGGGTGGTAATGTTTTATATGCATCTGCATGGTAGGACACGACAATATTAATTATTGACTTTAGGGGACAAGCTGTGTGGAATGAGAGTGAAAAGGAAGAGTGAAGAAATTAAAAGGAAGGGTGAAATGGTAATGTGAAGAGACAGAGAGAAGAAAAGTAAAGATAAGCAAGAAGGGAAAGGGAAAAGCATAAGAGTTAGGAGGAAGAGTAAAGAAGAGTTAAGAGTAAAATGAGAGGAGGAAAAAGAGGGAAAAGTGAAGAGGAAGAAAGGAGAGTAAACAGGAAGATAAAATGAGGAAGAGAAAAGAGCAAGAGTAAAGAACTGTGAAGAAGAAGAGTAAAGAAAATAGTAAAGGAGAAGGACAGGTAGGAGTAAAGAGGAAGAATAAAGAGGAAGTGTATTTTTTTAAGGACCAAAACCCTCAAGAAGGGCTTAAAATCTCAGCTAATTACATTCATACATTGTTTATTTTATTAATTACAATATACATAAAACCCTAATAGTAAAATATCTGATCAATAAACACATCTTTATCTAGTTCTTGGGTCATATACCCTGCAGAAGACAGTGTTTGTTACACTACTACTGAATTGTACATTCATCCCATTATCATGTTACAGTACTATTCAATTGTACATTTTTCTCAATATCATGTTACAGTACTATTCAATTGTACATTTACTTTAATGTCAAAACTTTACTAAAAATCTCATTAATAATAATCCTATATATAAATTTATCTGCTCATAGAGCATATAAATTTATTCAGGTAAGACTTCCTTTGGGTATATAAAAATTACTTGTGATTAGGTTAAACACTGTGGTAAAATACACAGTATGTATATAAATTTGATAAATTTAGGATTATATTGTTCATGAACAGTACTGTAGAAAATTTAGATTCACTAGCAATAATATGAGTAAGTTTTACAAAAAATTATATGTAAAGTACGTATTATGGCATTCACCTGAAGGAGATTTTCTTTGCGAAAGCCTTTTCCACAGCCCTCCTTAGGGCACTGATGTTCATTGTGCTCTGCCCTCACTACAAACTCATTGGGAGCAACTATGGTAGAAAATAAATTGGTGATATCTTATTAGTATAAAACATAATTGTTTCTTTATAAGAGTCTTGTACAGTACTGTATATGTTACAAAGACTTAAATTAGGAATTAAAAAGGAACTATCTGATTACAAAATTCCAGTTTCAGAGTTCAACTAACCAATTTCATTAACTAATGCAAAAGTCAGGGCCATCTTGTGATCTAAAATTCATCAAATTATAACTATTATCTGGATGAATACAGTATGATACATAGTGAAAGCCTGAATTTCTTTCTTAAATGAATGTTTTAACAGTCACCCCTATTCATTATTAAAATTTAAAAGTGCAGTACAACAAACACAATGAACACAACATATTAATTAAAACTACACGCTCTCTTATAAACACAATCTATCAAAAACATGCCGTACACATTAAACCCTTGCCTTGAGCACCAACTTATTAAAGTCGTTTCCTAACTCATCGCTTTTCAGTACATGCTGCACATGACTGCTGAGGATGAAGCAACTCCCTTATATCCTTGGCTGCTTTAAAATTCTGTAACTGCCTCCACCCTATATTTTATTACATTTTCATTTTAGCAAAAAAAAAAAAAAAAAAAAAAAAAAAAAAAAAAAAAAAAAAAAAAAATTAAAGAAAAAGAAATCTGATATATTCATGTAGAGCTAAGATCCAAAGCTCCAAAGGACCCGACACCACATTCTCTCCAGTAGGTCTGGATGTTTTGGCACTTCTTTCAATTAACTGCATAAAGGTCTAGTTCATGTTCCAGTTATCAATGGAATGATATTAAATTACTATTATTATTGTTGTTATTATACTCAAGGAAACTGTTAAATCCATAGGGACCATATAGTACCTGGGAAATATGAGGCATCAAGTTTGATCCAAGGAGTGGGACAGCAGCTTTGATTTCTTAAAGGTTATCATCATTTATGGAAAGGTATCAGTGATGATTATTTGACCACACAGACCTCCACACCTCCAGTCCAATCAAATCAAAATGCCACCCACATCATTTCCCTTATATTCTTTCATTTATTCATTAACATTCTTTTTCTCTCTCACACAGAATTTTGCTTGACAGTAATAGTGGCAAAAACTCTACATGAGACACAAGTTGGCTCAGACTGTAAGCATGCACCATGTTCATAGATTGCCAGTCTACTCCATCTCATCTCTGACTTCTGGACTAGGTAGAGGACTGTGATAGCAGAGGGTGATTTTATTATTATGTACCAAGCCACTGTTATCGAGCTCTCGCATTGATCTTGACTTCACAGGCGGCAAGGACATAACAGTCCCACCCAGTGACGGGAAGTCATCAGCAGTCTCACTTTGAAAGTGCCTCTCTCAAGGACATAACTTCATCACTGATCAGTCATTCTTCAAATTACTCTCACTTGGGACAAGTTTCCACAACATATGAACATTTAAAATATGAACTCAACTGATTAAAAGAAAGCTTTGGTTAACAACTTATTCCAACTTAACTCTGTTCCCTACACATGTATATGCCTTAATATTAACCCTTCATCTGTTATCACACTGATCTATGGAACTGTTAAATTATCTTTTCACAGGCTTAATTTAAATGCAATGGGACAAATTTGCCATACAATTCCCCAAGAAAAAATAATTTTGAAACTTTACAAAATACAGGAGGAATAAAAGACACTATTACAATATATGAGAAACTTTTCAGCTGATAGAAAAATGCAAACAGTAATAAGAGGAAAATGTCCTCATGGAAAATTTATCAGCAGCTGGGTCTCACAAGGATCAATGCTTGCCCTGATAATGTTCCTAATTTATATAAGTGATTTTTCAGGAGCAAAGAATTAATACAAATAAGTTTGTGGTAGATGTTGCAAATGTATAGAATAGGAGGTACGTTATTGAAAGCAGTGATGAGTCTTTACGAGAATAGTGAGACTCAGGTTAGAGTATGTAGGCAAGAGGGAGATTATTTCTAAGTAAAAGTAGGCCTTAGACAGGAATGTGTGATGTCACCATGGTTTTCAATATATTTATAGAGTTGTAAGGGAAGTGAATGCTTAGGTGTTGGCAAGAGGTGTGGAAGTTAAAAGATAAGAATCTAACATAAAGTGGGAGTTGTCACAGTTGCTCTTTGTTGATGACACTGTGCTTTTGGGAGATTTTGAAGAGAAGTTGCAGAGGTTGGTTGATGAGTTTGGTAGGGTATGTAAAAGAAGAAAATTAAAAGTGAATATAGGTAACAGTAAGGTGATGAGGATAACAAAAAAATTAGGTAACGGAAGATTGGATATCAGATTGGAAGGAGAGAGTAAAGAGGAGGTGAAAGTGTTCAGATATTTGGAAGTGGACGTGTCAGCAGATGGGTTATGAAGGATGAGGTGAATCATAGAAATGACGAGGGGGAAAAGGTGAGTGGTGCACTGAGAAGTCTATGGAGACAAAGAACTTTATCCATTCAAGCAAAGAGGGGAATGTATGAGAGTATAGTTATCTGAACACTCTTGTATGGGTGTGAGGCATGGGTTGTGAATGTTGCAACAAGGAGAAGGCTGGAGGCAGTGGAGATGTCATGTCTGAAGGCAACGTGTAGTGTGAATATAATGCAGAGAATCCATAGCTTGAAGATTAGAAGGAGGTGTGGGATTACCAAAACTAGTATTATTCAGGGGGCTGTGGAGGGGTTATTGAGATGGTTTGGACATGTAGAGAGGATGGAATGAAATAGAATGACTTCGAGAGTATATAAATCTGTAGTGGAGGGAAGGCAGGGTAGGGGTCGGCCGAGGAAAAGTTGGAGGAGGGGGTAAAGGAGGTTTTTTGTGAGAGGGGCTTGGCCTTCCAGCAAGTGTGTGTGAGCATGTTAGATGGGAGCGAATGGAGACAAATGATTTTTAGGACTTGACGTGCTGTTGGACTGTAAGCAAGGTAACATTTATGAAGGGATTCAGGGAAACCAGCAGGCCAAACTTGATTCCTGGAGTTGGGAAGTACAGAGCCGTGATGGCACTCTGAAGGATGGGTGTTAATGTTGCAGTTTTATAACTGTAGTGTAAGCATACCTCTGGGAAGACAGTGATGAAATGAATGATGATGAAAGTTTTTCTTTTTCGGGCCACCCTGGCTTGGTGGGAAATGGCGGATGTGTTAATAAATAAAAATAAAAATGCTTGTGGCTAAGTGTGGAGTGCACCAACTATGTTATAATTAATTTGACATTCATTATGCTCTCATTGGCATGCTCTCTTGACTAGTGAACTAGCAAGTCAGAGTATAGCAGTTTTGGAGCCCCACTGCTTGTTAACTGTCCGGTTCAATCCACCAATCAGGTGAGAGCCAGCTCCTAAGCCAAGGTGACATCACACCTGCCTACCTGACTGAGGTACAGATTCTCGCTTATGCTGGTCCAATCCACTCTTCCTGCTTGGAGTAACTCTTCACTTTGTCTTATCATCATACTACCAACTTGACTTTGCAAATATTGTACACAGTGGCAAAGGAACATACAGGTAAAGAAAAAAACTACCCCTTCTGTGTTTGCTGTCCTGAGCATTCACTTTTCTTACAACTCCATCTATAAATATATTGAACAAGCATGGTCACATCACACATCCCTGTCTAAGGCCTACTTTTACTTGGAAATAATCTCCCTCTTGCCTACATACTCTAAGCTGACCCACACTATTCTTGTAAAGACTCTTCATTGCATTCAATAACCTGCTTCCTATTCCATACATTTGCAACATCTGCCACACTGCCTCCCTATCCACCCTATCATATGCCTTTTCCAAATCCATTAAAGCCACAAAAACCTCTTTACCCTTATCTAAATACTGTTCACCAATATGTTTCAATGCAAACACTTGGTCTAGACACCCCCTACCCTTCCTAAAGCCTCCTTGTTCATCTGCTATCCTGCTCTCCATCTTACTCTTAATTCTTCAATAATAACTACCATACACTTTACCAGGTATACTCAACAGACTTATTCCCCTATAATTTTTACACTCTCTTTTGTCCCTTTGCTTTTATACATGCTCTCTTGCCAATCCCCAGGTACCTTACCCTCTTCCATACATTTATTAAATAAAAACACTAACCACTCCAAAACTATATCCCCACCTGCTTTTAACATTTCTATCTTTATCCCATCAATCCCAGCTGCTTTACCCCCTTTCATTCTACCCACTGCCCCATGCACTTTCCCCCACTCACAACTGGTTCTTCCTCACTCCTATAAGATCTTATTCTTCCTTGCCCTATACACGAAATCACAGCTTCCCTATCTTCATGGACATTTAACAATTCCTCAAAATATTCCCTCCATCTTTCCGATACCTCTAACTCTCCATTTAATAAATCTCCCCTCCTATTATAAACTAACATATCCATTCATTCCCTAGGCTTTCTCAACTTATTAATCTCATTCCAAAACTTTTTCTTATTTTCAACAAAATTTGTTGATAATATCTCACCCACTCTCATTTGCTCTCCCTTTACATTGCTTCACCACTCTCTCAACCTCTCCCTTTTCTCTCCATATGTACTCCTCCCCGCTTGCACCATTTCTACTTTGTAAAAACCTCTCATATGCTAACTTTTTCTTTCTTACTACTCTCTTTACATCTTCATTCCACCAACTGCTCTTCTTTCCTCCTGCACCCACTTTCCTGTAACCACAAAATTTCTGCTGAACACTCTAACACTATATTCTTAAACTTCCCTCATAAATCTTCTACCCCATTGCCTATACTCACACTAGCCCATCTGTCCTCCAACAGTTGTTTATATCTTACCCTAATTGCCTCCTTCTTTAGTTTATAAATCTTCACCTCTCTCTTACTCGATGCTTCCATTTTCCTTGTAACCCATATACCTTTTACTCTCACTGTAGCTACAACTAGAAAGTGATCTGATATATCTGTGGCCCCTCTATAAACATGTACGTCCTGAAGTCTACCCAACAGTCTTTTATCTACCAATACGTAGTCCAACAAACTACTGTCATTATGCCCTATATCATATCTTGTATACTTATATATCCTCTTTTTCTTAAAATATGTGTTACCTATAACCAAACCCCTTTTCATGCAAAGTTCAATCAGGTGCCCCTCATTATCATTTACACCTGGCACCCCAAACTTACCTACCACACTCTCTCTAAAGGCTTCTCCTACTTTAGTATTTAGGTCCTCTCAATTACTCTCTCACTTGGCTCAAAAGTTCCTACCCACTCACTTAACATCTCCCAAAATCTCTCTCTCCTCTACACTTCTCTCTTCTCCAGGTGCATACTCACTTATTATGACTCACTTTTCACATCTGACCCTTATTTTAATCCACGTAATCCTTGAATTTATACATTTATATTCCCTCTTCCCTCTCTATAACTGATCCTTCAACATTTTTGCTACCCCTTCCTTAGCTCTAACTCTCTCTCAGATGCTCCTGACTTAATACCATATATTTCTCCCCACTGAAACTCCCCTATCCCCTTCAGCTTTGTTTTGCTTAGGGCTAGAACATCCAACTTCTTTTCATTCATAACATTATCAATCATTTCTTTCTTATCATCTGCACTACATCAACACACATTCAAACATCCCAATTTTATAAAGTTTTTCTTTTCCTAGTTTTTAGTAGTTTATACAGGAGAAGGAGTTACTAGCCCAATGCTCCAGGCATTTAATTACCTCCTATGACACGCATAGCTTACTGAGAAAGAATTCTGTTCCACTTTTCCATGGAGATAAGCAGAAATAAACAAGAGCAAGAACTACAAAAGAAAATAGAAGAAAACCCAGAAGGGTTAGTACATATATATGCTTGTACATGTATGTGTAGTGTGGCCTAAATGTGAGTAGAAGTAGCAAGACATACCTGCAACCTTACATGTTTATGAGACAGAAAAAGACACCAGCAATCCTACCATCATGCAAAACAATTACAGGCTTGTGTTTCACACTCATCTGGTATGATGGTAGTACCTCCTAGAATATTGTGGAACCAGTACATTCAGATGAATGTGAGGCATAAATTTTTAATGCAGAGGCAAGAGGAAGGCTAGAGGCAGTGGAGAGGTCATGTCTGAGAGCAATATGTGGTGTGAATATTATGCAGAGAATTCAGAGCGTAGAAATTAGATGGTATGGGGGTTACCAAAGGTGTAATTCAGAGGATTGAAGAAAGGTTGTTAAGGTGGTTTGGGTATTTACAAAGAATGGAGCAGAATGGGTTGACATACACATATTATATCTAAAAGGTGACAAGGGTAACAAATGAGTTAAGCAATGAAAGAATGAATATCAAACTGGAGTATTTTTTCTATCTCATTAATTATTTGTGAATATATGGAGTATATGGAGAGTAAAAGAAAGGTAAAGAGAGTGGTGACCCAAAAAAGAAAGAAAATCCCCAAAAGAAAATACTTTCATCATCATTCAACACTTTCACCACACTCACACATTATCACTGTTTTTGCAGAGGTGCTCAGAATACACAGTTTAGAAGCATACACATAAAGATACACAACATATCCCTCCAAACTGCCAATATCCCAAACCCCTCCTTTAAAGTGCAGGCATTGTACTTCCCATTTCCAGGACTTAAGTGCGACTATATGAAAATAACCGGTTTCCCTGAATCCCTTCACTAAATATTACCCTGCTCACACTCCAACAGATCGTCAGGTCCCAAGTACCATTCGTCTCCATTTACTCCTATCTAACACGCTCACGCATGCTCACATATATATATATTTTTTTTTGTCAAAATGCTCTGAGGACTTTACTCATTGTATTTTTATCAAATGATTTTGAATATTTTCATCAGAACAGACATAAATCTCTAATGATATGGAAGAAAGTGTCAAGTTCTGATATGACGTGGTGCAGTATGACATAGACTGACTGCACTGCACAATTAACAGACAGTGAGAAGAAAATAAAAGTTTGTGTAGAGTAGTTCAGAGTGTGACCTGGTGAAATGAATGTCAGAGGTTAATACTGCCAGGTAAAAAAGACCAGAGATACTGTACATTACAGAATTCTTGAGTACCTGAATACAACTATCAACTACTTACAACTCTGAATTTACCACAGCCACTCACCTAAGCCCATCAGAATGACATCAATCCTCTCCACATACCTATGTCAACAATGACAACTAATATACAAAATAAGATTAACTGTATAAACCAGTACCTAATAAAATATTAAAAAAAGTAGAAAAAAAAAGGCCGACTGGCAAAGGTGAAGGTCTCTGGAAACATACCCCTATTTTACACCATATTTTTCACTTCACATAAAGCCATTTTTCCTTAAGATGCTAACTGTGAAGAATGTATCTACCCCCCTTCCCTTCCATTATGAGAAGGGTTACTCTATTAGGGAATACTTTCATTTTATATTTTGGTTTCAAACATCTTGAGGGAACCATTATTCCAGTAGAGTTTTGGGTTTCCCATTATATTTGCAGCTCATAACTAACCAACAAACCGACAATGAATCCCAACATTTCAGACTGTCTTGACCATTTTCAAAGTTTTCAACTTTCATTCAAAATTTGTGGGTTAACTGCAAATTGTTTCAGTTATGGTACTGCAACTTATATTCTAACGCCAGTTTCTCAAATGACTGCCCATAATATAAGAACAGATTCATCCCAAGTATCTCACTTATCTTGGTTTCTTGACATTATTATTAATAATTTATTTCAACTAAATCTAGTACAAATGATGGGACTGTAGTGAATCTTGAATAATGATCATGTACAGCTGACAAAATAGTATAAAAAATTTTCTGTATTGAAATAACATCAAAAGATTACCCTTAACAACAATAATAATAATAATAATAATAATAGTAATAATAATAAAGTTCTTACCATATCCAGGTTTGTCACCTTGCAAAATAATGAAAATGAAGTTAATTACACTGATCCCTTGACACATATACATTTATCATTTAATAATGCTTATCCCAATACTCCTGTATGTCCTTATCACCTCTAATTAAGCCCTGTATACTTGATTTTCTTTTAATCACATTACAGGTTGGTCATCACTAATCCGGCATTATTGGGACCTGTAGGGTCCCGGATTAGTGATTTTGCCGGATTACAGTGTGGTTAGGTTAGAATACACTTAATCCAACAGCGACATTTATGCATCGGTGATTTCATCCACTTTATGCCCTTTTTTTGGCCCATTCCATTGTTCCAGTCTACCAAACTCATAGATATTTCACTAGTATTCTTTCTATTCTGTCGACTGAGAACAAGAAACCACTCATTCACCTATTTCAATTACTCAATAAAGTGATCAGAAATCGGTAATTTGGCCAATTTCACACAAATTTCAAAAGATACCAATTTCAAAATAGGGTCCAGAATAAACAATGCAGACACTCCAAGCACTAAAATAACATTTTCTCTGTTCATTAGTCACATCTCCAGGCCCCACTTATATTATGTTTGCTTTCCATTTTGAATTTTTATTCACACATAAAAATAGAAGATTTACTGTTATGCAGACTACTGCATTATTGTAATAATTACATAAATAATGTCAACCCATTTGTGACTGCGTATTAGACTGGCTAGTTGGACAAGTATTGGACGATGATGTCATTTGTTTACTCTTGAACATTAGCAAAAATCAAACAGTTCTGCTACTTTGAGCTCAATTTTAATGTACTTTCTGATGGGAAACCAATCAAAATTATATCTATTTCTGTAATATATCTTCCATTCTGTCAAATGAAACCTAAAAAAATGAGAATACAACCATACAAAAATACCCCATAAACATGGTCGCAGTTTTTTTCCTCATTATGCACTGAGTGCTACAGGATTTTTTTTTATGGTGTACACTTACCACACAGACCTATTCTCTCATATGTAGGCCCAAATTTACCAGTCACAGCTTATCTGAATGAGCTGAGCTCATGGTGACCAACAGTGGCTTCAAAGCCACCTAATCTTTTATGGAAAATGTACGGTGTATGTGCTTTACACAATGAGAAGAATTTCTTTTATTCGTTGGAACCATGGCTAGGGCTAAAAGTGAGCAGGTTATAACAATAAATGGAGAAAAAGAAATTGAAATGGCTTATGCAGCCAAGCAGCATCACCAAACAGTAGCGGCAGGTTTGAATTTGAAATTTGAAGTTATGCTAGCCGAAATTAGTGCCGGATTAGTGATGGCCAACCTGTACTAGAAATTTACAGACCAAAAATATCATTTTTTGTCATTATTACAATCTTCTTAAATGAAAAAGCTGTAACTTTTTAGGAATTTTTCTTTTAAAGACAGTGGAGAATTTCCAATGAATACATGTATTGTACTTTTAACAGTTTCATGGGAGAACACTTACGGACAGGATCCTTTTTTATGGTATGTTTCTGTTGTGCAGGAGGTGTAGCTTCTGGCTTAGATGACTCTGCAGCTGGCTCTGGTACTGGTGCTGTGTCTGCTTCTGCTGAAGGAGATTCATCTTTCTTGGCTTCACCTACTGATATATATTACATAGGAAGACAATGTTATTTATGTTAAATTATCACAGGAAAAATTGATGTAATATTCACTAATAACTGGCAGTTTACTTTCTAATAATGTTTTTCATTAGAGAATATCACAAATATGGTCAAAAATTATCATAAAAGAATGAAGTGAATTTTTAAAATTCTCTTTACCACTTTATATGAAATAAGTATGTGACATATAGAGAGATTACTATAAGTTTCAACTTGAAAAGTACCTGATATATCCACATAGTTTTGTAGAAATGATGTATCATGTGGAAATTAAATACCATAAGCATTATTGTTATTAATTTAGTTCAAAACAAGCTATACAATGTAAACAGTGCAATGCACTTAGAATTTTTTTTAAGTTCTACACTCATATGTCGAACCCAATTTAGCCATCATGGAAGACATCAGTTCCTAAATCTGCCACTGCCAGAGAGTGTTTTGAGGAAGGTAGGAAAGTTGAGGCTCATTCTTATTCCTTACTAAACACTACCAGGTAATGGCAAAGAATGTGCCAGATTAATACTCTTCTTTCTCTGCAGATACAATAGTACAGACTTATGCATATGACCCATGGTGGCCCATGCCAGCAAATAATTATGTACATTATTATCAACACTTCAGTCTTAGAGTTGATCTTACTAAGTTGAAGCTTATTACAGATTGCCTATGCTTTATGCAGAAGTGTTTCTTACATCTAATATTTCTGAGATTACCATTTTCACCATTTCTGTTTGTATGCAGGATCCTTAAAATTTATTCATTATTTTATATTTACCCTGGCTATTTTCACTTGGTTGTAGTCTACAGTTTCCTACTAGCTCTCTCACTCTCTGTGGTGAGCAGCTTTATTTTTCTTTTTTTGAATCCAAGCAGTATTTAAATTAATCTTTCTCTTTGATGTTTTATTCTCATTTATTTTTTCTGTATTTGCTTCACTTCTAAATGTGTCTTCCATAGATATTTCTTGATGACAGTAATGGTCTTTCAGTTTGTGAGTTTTCTCAAATACTTGACTTCTTTTTAGCAGTTCTTTCATATTCTGCATGTAAGTGCAGTGCAAGTAATCTTTAAGGGTCTGCTTTCTTTTTTTTTTCAACTTCTTCTTTGCCTTGCCTTTTATGATTAACTACACTCAATGGCCACTTAATTAGGAACACAATTCTAGAACTGAGTAGGGCTCCCCTTTGTCCCCAGAACAGTCTGATTCTTTGTGGCATGGACTCAACAAGGTATGGAAAATATTCCTTAGAGATTCTATTCCATGTTGACACAATAGCATTATGCAGTTGCTGTGAATCTCTCATTCCACAACATCCCAAAGGTGCTCTATTGGAGTGAACTCTGGTAACTGTGCAGGCCATTGGAGTACACTAAACTCACCGTCATGTTCATGGAACCAGCTTGAGATGACGTGCTTTCTGACATGGAATGTTATCTAGCTGGAAGTAGCCATTGGAAAATGGGTAGACTGTGGCCATAAAGGGATGCACACAGTCAGCAAGAATTCTCAGGCAGAAATCACAGAACAGGTGGGGCTTGAACCATGGCAGGTGAGTCCTAAAACTCAGGCCAGTGAGATCACCACTTGACCAGCTGGCTCTAATAAGATTCATCCAACTAGGTATATTTTTATACACCATAGGGAGGTTAGCATGGGCCCCAATCTGGTCACAAATGCAGATTTTTACAGACTATGCTAACCTCCCCATGGTGATTAGAAATATACTTAGTCTGATGAATCTTCTTAGAGCCAGCTGGTCAAGTGGCTAGCACACTGGCCTGTGAGTTTTAGGATTCACAATTACAAACAAGTCAAAGAATGGGTGGGGCTGGAACCAATGGTGAATGAGTCCTAAAACTCACAGGCCAGTACACTAACCACACAGCCAGCTGGATTTAATAAGATTCATCCAATTAGGTATATTTCTATACACCATGGGGAGGTTAGCATGGGCCACCACTGAGACCACGAATGTAGGTTTTTAAAGATGAATCCCGTACCAGCATGACTGTGGTTTTCTCTAGCTCAAGTCCCTTCAAAGGCACCATCTTTTCTCAAGAAATCATATTGAACCCATTACAAACAATTCACAGAATTGTTTGTAATGGGTTCAAGCCCCACAGAATGGGTGGGGCTTGAGAGAGAGAGATTTTGGGAAATGTTGAGTGAATGCATGGGGAGTTTTGAACCAAGTGAAAGAGTACTTGTGGTTGGGGACTTCAATGCTAAAGTGGGTAAAAATGTTGTTGAGGGAGTAGTAGGTAAATTTGGGGTGCTAGGGGTAAATGTAAATGGGAGCCTTTAATTGAGCTATGTGTAGAAAGAGGTTTGGTAATAGGTAATACATATTTTATGAAAAAGAGGATAAATAAATGTACAAGGTATGATATAGCACGTAATGAAAGTAGTTTGTTAGATTATGTATTGGTGGATAAAAGGTTGATGGGTAGGCTCCAGGATGTATATGTTTATAGAGGGGCAACTGATATATCGGATCATTATTTAGTTGTAGCTACAGTTAGAGTAAGAGGTAGATGGAACAAGAGGAAAATGGCAACAACAAGTAAGAGGGAGGCGAAAATGTATAAACTAAGGGAGGAGGAAGTTCGGGTAAGATATAAGCAACTATTGGCAGAAAGGTGGGCTGGTACAAGTATGAGTAGTGGGGGGGTTGAAGAGGGTTGGAATAATTTTAGAAATGTAGTATTAGAATGTGGGGCAGAAGTTTGTGGTTATAGGAGGGTGGGTGCAGGAGGAAAGAGGAGTGACTGGTGGAATGATGAAGTAAAGGGTGTGATAAAAGAGAAAAAGGTAGCTTATGAGAGGTTTTTACAAGCAGAAGTGTTATAAAAGAGCAGAGTATATGGAGAGTAAAAGAAAGGTGAAGAGGGTTATTAGGTTATTAGTAGGGTTATTAGTGAAAGAATTAGAGGTAAGACAGAATGAGGATTGAGGATGAGCAAGAAGGTTTTGGAGTGGGTAGGGGATATGTAGGTCAAATGTTTACATTGAAGCATATACGTGAACAGTATTTAGATAAAGGTAGGGAAGTTTTTATTGCATTTATGGATTTAGAAAAAGCATATGATAGAGTGGATAGGGAAGTAATGTGGCAGATGTTGCAAGTATATGGAATAGGTGGTAAGTTACTAAATGCTGTAAAGAGTTTTTATGAGGATAGTGAGGCTCAGGTTAGGGTGTGTAGAAAAGAGGGAGAATACTTCCCAGTAAAAGTAGGTCTTAGACAGGGATGTGTAATGTCACCATGGTTGTTTAATATATTTATAGATAGGGTTGTAAAAGAAGTAAATGCTAGGGTGTTCGGGAGAGGGATGGGATTAAATTATGGGGAATCAAATACAAAATGGGAATTGACACAGTTACTTTTTGCTGATGATACTGTGCTTATGGGAGATTCTAAAGAAAAATTGCAAAGGTTAGTGGATGAGTTTGGGAGTGTGTGTAAAGGTAGAAAGTTGAAAGTGAACACAGAAAAGAGTAAGGCGATGAGGGTATCAAATGATTTAGATAAAGAAAAACTGGATATCAAATTGGGGAGGAGGAGTATGGAAGAAGTGAATGTTTTCAGATATTTGGGAGTTGATGTGTCAGCGGATGGATTTATGAAGGATGAGGTTAATAATAGAATTGATGAAGGAAAAAAGGCGAGTGGTGCGTTGAGGTATATGTGGAAACAAAAAACGTTATCTATGGAGGTAAAGAAGGGAATGTATGAAAGTATAGTAGTACCAACACTCTCATATGGGTGTGAAGCTTTGGTTGTAAATGCTGCAGTGAGGAGGCAGTGGAGATGTCCTGTCTAAGGGCAATGTGTGGTGCAAATATTATGCAGAAAATCCGGAGTGTGGAAATTAGGAGAAGGTGTGGAGTTAATAAAAGTATTAGTCAGAGGGCTGAAGAGGGGTTGTTGAGGTGGGTTGGTCATTTAGAGAGAATGAATCAAAGTAGAATGACATGGAGAGCATATAAATCTGTAGGAGAAGGAAGGCAGGGTAGGGGTCGTCCTCGAAAAGGCTGGAGGGAAGGGGTAAAGGAGGTTTTGTGGGCGAGAGGCTTGGACTTCCAGCAAGCATACATGAGTGTGTTAGATAGGAATGAATGGAGACGAATGGTATTTGGGACCTGACGAGCTGTTGGAATGCGAGCAGGGTAATATTTAGTGAAGGGATTCAGGGAAACCGGTTGTTTTTATATAGCCGGACTCGAGTCCTGGAAATGGGAAGTACAATGTCTGCACTTTAAAGGAGGGGTTTGGGATATTGGCAGTTTAGAGGGATATGTTTCTAAACTGTTGTATTCTGAGCACCTCTGCAAAAACAGTGATTATGTGTGAGTGAGGTGAAAGTGTTGAATGATGATGAAAGTATTTTCTTTTTGGGGATTTTCTTTCTTTTTGGGTCACCCTGCCTCGGTGGGAGACGGCTGATTTGTTTAACCCTTTCAGGGTCCGTCCCGTCATCAGGCTTCAGTTTGAGTGTCTAAACCGTAGATTTTGCCAAAAATTCAGCGCTGTAAAATTTTAGGCGAAAGCGCCATAGGCCTACTGTGAGAGAACGGGTCGCGTGGGGGTGTGTGCCATAAAAAAAAAAACGGGCCCTGCATACATTGGGGAACGCCGGTCATTTTCCCCTTGTTCACCACCTCGTCACAAAGTCCCCTCTCACCCCCAAAAAAATTGGGGACTCCCCCTCTTCCTATCGATAGTTCTGACACTGAGGAAAGGGGAAAATTGAAGACTTTTTTAGGGCTTTGATCATTTTGTGACCGAAAAGAATGACCAGGAATCGTAATGTGCAGAAAAACCCTGGATCCTAACCCTTTTAAACCTGGTGTGGGCACTCTACCCTCTTGGCCTCAAGCAAGGAAAACTAATATTTTCGCGGGGGCCCGGGCCTTGATTCAGAAATGTGAGATAGGGGACGTGGATTTTGATTTTATTGCGCTCAGATCTTCGAGTAGTGATAGTGGGGAATTATTCCCCAGTGAAGCGTCGTATGTTCGCCCCCCCGCATGCGCTCGGGTAGTGTCCCCTATGCTGGCCCAGGGGATGGAGTAATCCTGGGGCCCCCTACACCAGTTTTAGGTAGTGAAGTGGGAGATGTGGTACATTTTGGCATGGAAGCCCACAGGCATCAGGGGATAGTTTTGTGGTGGGTGTGGCCCCCCATGCGTGCTCACCCCCCAGGGTGGATCCACGCGTGATTGTCAGTTAAGGGAAAAAAATTGGAGCTCACCCCAGCCCACCACAACCACAACCCCCCCGCAAAACCACCTTGAGGGCCATTCCCCAGCAAACCGTAGTGGGATGGCAGCAAAACCCCAAATTTTTGTTCCAAGCCTCCCCATTTTTGATGACTTCAAAGGGGAATTCTACCTACTTTCCCCTTGGGAAAACCACGGCCAATAAATGGAATTCTTTGAATTTCTTTAAACCAGCCTTTGATGGAAACTAAAAGTCGGGGGAAAGTAAAAAGTTTTTGAGTCACCAGGGCAAATCATCTATCCCCACAGTAAGACTACACAGGGGGGAAAAGAGAGACTTTTGCAGAAATTATTTGTTTTTTGCAACAAAATGTTAGGCCTCATGTTATAAGCATAATTAAAAAGCATACTGGTCCACAGATCGGAATTTTACCCCCCGGGCTTCAGTGAAAATTCCAGTGAACGGTTTACTTACTGTTACTATGTTGCCCTTCTTGACAAAAACCCGGCCTGACAGAAATGACAGGTTATCAAGATTAGAAATGTTTTCATATATCTCAAACAAAAGTTCAGCATATACTTTATCATTCAAGAATTTGTAATTGAGAGTCTTATTTTGTTCAAAAGGGGAGACTGCATTCAAGCGTATATACCGACAAGAGGAAACGCTTTGGATAAAAGTTTTACTCTGTGCTGTGCAGTGGCCTGGTGTTTGGGTATTGTTGCAACAGGGAAGTAAAAAATGAAATCAAGATGTATTGGGTATTCAGGGGGACGTAGTGAGAAACATATGGCACTTATCTTTTGGAAGGGCATTCATTATATCCCATAACGGTAAAAGCCCCCTTATCAGTGATTTCATGCGAGTGAACAGCAGAGTGTGTGGCACGTGCTTCAAACTAAAATATGCCCAGCTGAACGCAGGGGCTCGTGGTGATGAGTCAGGTGTTTATGCCAATGACCAAAGGCATTACGGTGGCATGACAAACGAGATGTCAATTGTTGACAACCCTTCACCGTAATTTAAATGAGACAGTGGCAAAAATTTTCGGGGGACTAATGAACGATTCGAAAACCCCGTGACAGTGATTGATTTATAACAAACATGCACTTGGTTTTAAAAGGGCATGCAGATTGGTTTTTTTGACTGTGTTCGTAAAAGTTACAAGTGGTACATGAAAATTTTTCTTCCTCTCATGGGCATTTTAATCTTTAAAGCATATAAAGTACAAATAAAGACGGCAAGAGACCACCGTTTGGGGGATTTTGTTTGTCTTTGCCAGGCAACTCTAAAGAAGTACCAGGTAAGAACACCCGTTCAACAAGGCCTCGATTATCAGGATATACCCAAGCGTTTGAGGGGGGAAGGTATCTTTCATAAACAGCTTCCCTTCAATCAAAGAAAATTTTCTCGAAAAAGATGCATTGTTGTGCACAAAAAAAACGACGGCAACAAAGACGCAAAAACACTCGGTTTTTGTGTGAGGAATGTAAGGTGCCTCTGTGCATGGTGCCTTGTTTCAAGGAGTTCCACAAGCTCCAGCAGTTCTAAAACCATGTCCAGTGATTGTAAATATGTAAATATATGATAGAACATTAGTATTATACAAGATTTGTGCACGTTTATTGTAATAAACAACAGTGGTAAACAATAATATGATAATAACTTTAGTGTGGTTATTGTGGTCAATACAGTGAGTTTATATATATACATTATATACAGTATTGGTCTCTCAGGCCCCAAATGTTAGTAGGAATAGAAAAAAATTGGAAAAGAAAAGAAAAAACTATAAAAACCGCTAAATAATGTAATGCGCGTATGTGGAATTCGTCGATGTTGCCGCCACCACATCATTTTTGACAAACTTCTTGGCACTGTATCTCGGTAAGTACTGATCAGAATTTTTTTTTTTGTCTTATTACCTTCACAAAAATATGCTCTTTAATTCTGTAAGAAAAAATTTTTTTTTTTTTTTTCAAAATTTCTTGGACACTGGAGCACCACTTCAGATTTTGGCCTTGGACCCTGAAGGGGTTAAAAAAGAAAAAAAAAAGAAAAAAATCAAAATATCATTTGAAAATGACACCACTTAGCCTGTAATCTGACAGTAGTCTTAGTCAGAGAAAGAAAATGGCTGGTGCAATCAGAGCTCAGCTTCTGATGATTATCATTATATTCATGGTTAGTGTTAAACTCAAAAGGATCATTCAGTGCTATAAGACACAGGCGAGAGAGAGAAGACAGAGTGGGAGAGATAAGAGTGTTGCTGAAGGGGTACTGGCAAAAGGAGAAGAGAGGGGAATAATGAGCAGAGTTTATTTATTAAGAAATCGCAGAATGAGTGGGATTACAGGTGGGGCCACACAAAGGAGAGTTGACAAAATAAGCATGTCAGGGCAGTTAAGGACTGGCTTGCAATCAGTTTGAATCATAGGTTTAACCTCATACTTTATAGTAATTCTTGATTTTTTTTTCACAATTTACATAAACTGTTTGTCAAGGATACTAGCAAAATCTATATTCGCAGTTGTTCTTCAAGTTAATAAGTACAAAGTTAAAGAACAGCTTTTCAGTAATTATTGTGTTTCACTGATAAATGGTGAGGTTCATAGCTCATGAGAATGTTTAGGTTTTAATTGGCAGTTTAAGAGTGTGGCTATATACAGAGAGCACTACACAACCAGTACTATACTACTGTACATGACAGTGATTGATGGTCAAATATTTAGGAACGATGGTAATACATCAGACACAAAAGCATCAGAATCTGAAGAGCTATAAAATGAAAATTAAAGTATAATACATTGAGATTTCTACTACTGTATTATTATTATTCAATTTGTAACTAGAAACACAATAAGCAGTACAGCTAGTGATACTAATGCTCCTAGAAGACTAAGAAATTAAAAAACTATTGTACAGTATTCCTATTCAAAAAAGAAAAAATTAACAAAAGAAATTTTTTTTGGTCAATCTAAAAGATTCTTGAAGTCAAAGAAATAACTGCTAAGCCATGGGAATAACTCAACCAACTGAGCTGCAAAAACAAAGCATAAAAATAAAACAAAGAAACTAATACCTGAATGAACAGTTGCAGAAGCAGGCAAGGATCGGGGAAGTGCGGAGGGCATAGTAGGAGACCAAGGACTGGCTGAGGTGCTCAGCACCGATGAGGATAACATACCTATATTCTCTGTCTTTGATAAAATGGGGATCTCTATTTTAAGTCTTGGGGATTCGCTCAGCTTAGTATCGGGTCGCTTTGCCTCTGGTTTCTTAACTTCATTTTTTTTGGTAGAAGAAACTTCAGTTTTTTTGGCAGAACAAACATCAGTTTTTTTTGCAGAAGACACTTCAGGTTTTTTGGCAGATACATCAGGTTTTTTGGCAGGAGCTTCAGTTTTTTTGGCAGAAGAAATTTCAGTTTTTTTGGTAGATAATACTTCATGTTTTCTTGGCAGAAGAAACTTCAGTTTTCTTGGCAGAAGAAACTTCAGTTTTCTTGGCAGAAGAAACTTCAGTTTTCTTGGCAGAAGAAACTTCAGTTTTCTTGGCAGAAGAAACTTCAATTTTCTTGGCAGAAGAAACTTCAGTTTTTTTGGCAGAAGAAACTTCAGGTTTTTTGGCAGAAGAAACTTCAGGTTTTTTTAAAGAAGGAACTTCAGTTTTTTTAGCAGGAACAACTTCAGGTTTCTTGGCAGGAGCAGGAACAATTTCAGTTTTTTTGACAGAAGAAACTTCAGGCTTTTTGGCAACAAGATTTTTGTTGCTTTCTGACTGGTCAAAGACGGCAGCCTTTTCTTCTTCATCATTATTTTCTTCCTTAATCTAAAGGGATTTTATAAAATGTAAAAATGTCATTAGCCTTCACAATACATGTATTAAAACATTGAAACCTAAATTAATATACTGAAACAAGCTTTTCTGAGTGATATAAGACAAAAACTGCTGCTATATATCACTTCCATTTCATTAACTTTACTGTAAGAAATAAGTTCTTTCATCATAAACAAACACAAAACATAATTTTGTATGGAATCTGCATTTTAAGACATTCCATCTAAGTCTAAATGGTTTAGATTACATTGCTTATACAAGTCCTACTGTGATGTATTTCAAGTAAAGAATGAAAAGGCACACTACTGTGACTGGAACAATACACGAATGACCTGCAAATAGGAGAGAGAAGCTTACGACAATATTTCAGATCGAAATGTCGTCATAAACTCCTCTCTCCTATGTGGGAGTTATTTGTGTAATGTATTTCAAGTAGCAAGTACAAGATGCTTACTTATATTAGGAAACAGTAAAACATATTTTTTCTTCACTGCCAACTTCTAACCAAGGTAAGGTAACCCGAAGAAAAAAAAAAACACATTCACAATCTTGCCACAAGTGTATGGATATCGCAATTAAAAATGACCCTCTAAAGTGCAGGTACTGTACTTTCTACATCCAGAACCAGGTCTGTTAATCAATTTTCTTGAATCCTCTTTTATTTGTTACATTGCTTGTACTCCAGCAGCATATCAGATCACAAAAACCACAGTCCCTCTCACTCCAATCTAAAACACTCACACATGCTTGCTTGTTACTGAAGCCTCTACTCCTTAAAAACCTCTTTATCATCTTCTTTCCAACTCTTCTTGGTATATACAGTATTGAAAAGCCAACGGTTGCTTATATAATCATTCCTTGCTTAATGAGTATTCTCTTAGTAGAATTTCAGTTAACCAAAAAAAACCTAGGACACTTCCTCCATTTAACAATCAGCTGGGTCTTCTTTAAAGACCAAATTTGCTAGCTCTACAGTGCACACAAAAAAAAATCTATACATTTCCAATGCAAAAAAAAAATCTATACATGAGATTTTGGTGCATACTTTTCACTTGTGTTTCTGCCACAGGAAAAGTGGGCAGAGCTTGTGATGACTTAGTGTACCTGAGCCTGTCTTGCTCCATTGTTCCCCATCATGCCATGCTTCAGTGCTCTGCCAGAGCTCGGTGAGGAAGGAGGCCTGCTATGTTGTTCCTCGGTGTCCCTTTTTTCACTTGACCATGAACTTTGCCATGCTATATCTCTACTTTAAGTGGTCAGAATGGGTTGAACTAAACTTTCAATTACAGAGAAGACCCATGCACTCACTCTATTAGAGCAAGGCATGTCTGTGATACATGTAGCCACAGACCTGAAGGTAACAAGGATGGCAATTTACAATCTCAAGAAAGCAGCAGCCTCACTCCGTACCACCCAGGAAGGTGGGCTCTGGGGCCCCCAAAAAGACTTCTCTTCGCAAAGACAAGATCCTGAAGAGATAAGTGCTATCAGATCCTGCCATAACAGCCACAGACCTCCAGTAAAAGCATCCTGCGCTCCTGAAAAATGTCACAGTGCAAACCATTCAGCACCGACTGCAAAAGGCCTGAAAATGCCTGCTCGACGTGCCGCCAAGAAGCCCATGCTAACTGAAGCCATGAAGAAGAAATAGCTTCAGTTCTGCAAGAAGTACAAAGATTGCACCTCAGACCAATGGCAGAAGGTGATGTTCAACAATGAGAGTACCTTCAGGCTCATCAGGAGCAGCTCCAAGACCGTCCATTGTCCCAGTGGTGTGTCCCATTATGATCCACAGTATGCCGTGAAGACAGTGAAGCACCCTGATAGTGTTATGCTCTGGGGTGCTTTTAGTGGTCATAAGGGCAGGGGTGGACTATACTTCCTTCCTAAGAACATTATGATAAAGGGAAGTAATTAAATCAAGATGTTAAGGGACCACATGCTGACATTTTGGAACATTCACGAGTGTGATTTTTTATGCATGATGGTGCCCCTGCCCATAAGTCAAAAGCAGTGAAAAAGTTCTTCGAGGACAATAATATCAGTGTTTTGGAGTGGCTAGGCAATTCCCCTGACCTAAATCCTATCGAGAATGCCTTTCATGTGATGAAAAATGAGATTGCAAAAGCTCGACCCACCAACATCACAGACCTGAAGGAGGCACTGAAGAAGGTTTGGATCAAAATGGACACCTCCTTCTTCTCCACCCGATACTAACATGACCAAGTACTAGTTGGAAGCTAAAAAGTGAAAATAAAATACTTGTACATACAGTAAGTTTCATTTTTCATTTTATTGTCCAAAAATTGTTAAGGTATACATTTTTTTGTGGGCACTGTATATGTTCTGCTTTGAATTTGCCTGATTTTGCTCAAAGACTGTGTAGCATTAAAACATGCATATTTCATATTTTTCACAATATCTTGTTAACCCTTTCAGGGTCCGTCCCGTAGATCTATGGCTTTACGGTGAGTGTCCAAACCGTAGATCTACGTCATGAGCTCAGCTCACTCTGATAAACTGTGAGTGGTACATTTGGGCCTAGATATGAGAGAATACATCTATGTGGTATGTGTGCACCACATAAAACAGATCCTGCAGCACACTGTGTATAATGAGAAAAAAACTGAAATCATGATTTTTCGATTAAAACAGCGACTTTGCAGTGTTTTTTCGTATGTTTTTTATAGTTGTATTTGCGATTTCTTGGTCTCATTTGATAGAATGGAAGACATATTACAGAAATAGAGATGATTTTGATTGGTTTTAGCACTGGAAATGGCTTGAAACTGAGCTCAAAGTAGCGGAAATGTTAAATTTTTGCCGATATTCAAGAGTAAACAAACGACCTCACACATCTAATACACGTCAGCTGGTGGGTCTAATATACATTCACAAATATGGTGATGAATTTATACAATTATATACAGTATTGCATAACAGTAAATCTTCTATTTTTTGGTGTGAATAAAAATTCATTATGTGGATAAAAAATCAAAATGGAATTTATTTGTAAAGCCTCAAAATGTAACTAATGAACAGAGGAAATGTTAGTTTAGTTCCAGGAATACCTACATTGTTTATTCTGGAGCCTATTTTGAAATTGGAATATTTTGAACTTTGTGTTAAATTGGCCAAATTAACAATTTCCGATTACTCTATTTTGTAGTTGAAACAGTTGATTCGGCGATTTCTTGTGCTCAATCGATAGAATAGAAGTAATACTAGTGAAATAGCTAAGAATTTGGTTGATTGGAAAAATGTAATTGGCCTAAAGTGGGAGTCAAAGTCGGCAAAATCGCCGACTCGTAAATATCGCTGACACATCAAAACCATAAATACTATGCGAAAATACACCTCAAAGTCAGCGTTTTAATCCAAAAACACCACTGGAGTTTTTTTTCTCATTATGCACTGAGTGCTGCAGAATTTTTTTTATACAGTGCACACTGACCACACAGACCCATTCTCTCACATGTGGCCCTACCAGCTTTCTCCTGCTTGATTTAAAGCCACTAGCTACTAGAATTTTGAGTATATATACGTCTGAAACACTGGCTCGTAAGACATATATATACGGCCGAAACAGTCACAGGGTTAATGTGCCTCAAGAGTGATTATTGCGTTTTATTATTATTGTCGTTATTAATATGGTGTCTTTGAGACTAATAAGACACTCCTAGTGATTTTAATGTGTATCTGCAAACCAGCACGGTGTGTAAGTTTACTTAAGTACAGGTACACATAAATATAGTTATCAGAGTATATATAAAATATGAAATAACTTGAAAACACTTGAAATTTTGGAAAGTTTCCAGATATGATGGAGAGACGTGGTGCTCATGGAATTCATGGAGAATGTAAACAAACTGGGTGGCGTGCAGTGACTGTATCAGAAATTCAGGTAGGGGGAGCCATATAGAGAGTTTTGGTCACAAAGTGGGGACCTACTTATTTTTGGGTGAATAAGAATTCAAAATGAAAAACAAGTGTAACATAGGAGAGGCCCTCAGACATAACTAATGACCAGAGAAAATGTTGTTTTAGTGCTAGGAATGTCTACATTGTTTATTATCAACTCTGTTTTTAAACTGGTATTTTTTTAATTTCGTGTGAAACTGGCCGATTACTGAATTCTGATCATTTTATATTGCTGAAATAGCTGATTGGGCAGTTTCTTGTGCTCAATTGACAGAATGGAAGGCACACTAGCAAAATAGCAAAGAATTTGGTTGATTGGAACAATGGAACTGGCTTTAAATAGGGCTCAGATGCGGTGAAATAGCCAATGTGTATACAGTGGACCCCCGGTTAACGATATTTTTTCACTCTAGAAGTATGTTCAGGTGCCAGTACTGACCGAATTGGTTCCCATAAGGAATATTGTGAAGTAGATTAATCCATTTCAGACCCCCAAACATACACGTACAAACGCACTTACATAAATACACTTACATAATTGGTCACATTCGGAGGTAATCGTTATCCGGGGGTCCACTGTACTGCACTGAGATTGCTAAATTTTCACCTGCATAATTCCATAAGTTTTCTATCAAATTTCATACTTTTGGTGTCATTACCTTCAGAAAGGGATTCTCTACCATTTCAGAAGATAACATAATTTTTTTTTTTGGTCTGAAAATTTTTGGACACTGACAGCAAGTTTCATTTCAGAGGTCTGGACAGAGAAAGGGTTAAGTACTCTCTAGCTGAGGGATTTGTTTATCTCATCACTTACCTCAACAACACCCACATCTTTTATAGGTTCTCTTTGATCCTTTGGTGTGTGTCGAGTCTTGGCTACCTCCTTGGGATCTTTTTCTTGTAGGTGAGCCTCAATCACATCTGTAGTTTAATAAAAGAGGAGTGTAATGTAAGGAAAAAATAATTCAAACATATTTACACCTCCTCTACCTAGTACAGCCTCTCCTCACTCAGCGATGTACTCATTTACATATGCCTCTGACTTACGACGGGCTCTCTGACCAGTATTCATACCTAAATAATGTATATCAGAGCTGATTTTCTCTATTCTGTTCATTTCAATATATAGTACACTACTGTATAAACATTTAAAAATATACCAGAAATATTATAAATGGTGCAAAGGTGACGTAAAACAATATCAAAGACGGCTGACACAAACTCACTACCATTATAGTATGCTCCTTATTTAGCAATGAATTCATTTAACCATGTGGTCTCAAGAATGGAACTCTGTTGTTAAGTGAGGAGAGGCTGTACTTGGAATTTATTTTAACATATTGGTTATTTCCCACCAAAGCAGGAAGACCTAAAGAAGAAAATCACATTCACTATTACACAGTCTCCTGCTGTTTTTCCCATAATGAAGTTATATCAGAGCTTTATATATAAAGCTGATCATTGAAGGGTGAGCAAGGGAGGCATTCCTATCAGTTTGTTATACAATACTTGAGACACACAGGTTACTGAAATAATCTTAAAAGTGGAGAAAGGTATGGCTGCTATGAAAATGGTAATTTGAAATGTAGCTGGAATCTCAAAGGCAAAATATGTTTTATTCTGAAACATCAGTCATTTTATCAAGGCAAGGTGACCCATCAATCTAGTTGTTCTTCCTGCAGTGCACAGGCATCACATTTCAAATGACCTTTTAAACCTTATTATCTCTACTCATTCTTCAAAGTGAAGGTGGTGTAGCTCCCACTTCCAAAACTCAGGTCTGGCTAACCAGTTTTCCTGAATTCCATCATAAATGTTACCTTGCTTACATGACATCAAATCCCTAAATCATTTTGTCTTCAAAACTCAATTTAATGTGCTTACATGTGTCTGCTAAATGATTAAGTTTATACCATTTAAAATCTATTTCATGCCCTCCTTTCAACCCCTTTCTGGGGCATTTCCTACATTTTCCATCCACTCTCTTGGTCAGGCTATTTTACTCTATTTCAACAGTCCATTCTTCTGCTCTCTGAATTTCTATTTTTCAACAAACTGGCCATATCCCACTGTATACCTTTCGCATCACCAAACTGTTTTCTGAAATCTTCACCTGTGTTCTTCACATAATATTCACATTCCCACACTAATGTTTGTGCACTTCTGGCAAGAAAGTGATGGTGAGTATTATTCTTTCATTAGGTCACCTTTTCCTGATGGGAAACCAGTGATATGACAAAAAAAAAAAAAAAATCCTCAGGAGAAAAATTTGAATTGAAACACATTCAACTTGTCGATTTTCAAAAGTTATCTCCTACAGGTTTTCGTTTGCTTTTTTTTCAGGTTTGCTTTATGTGAATTCATTATTATTTGATGCCTCATTTTCATCTGTAATTCCATTCGTGTGATATGCTGTACATTAACAGTACAGTGGACCCTCAGTTAACGATGTCATCGGATAGCGATAAAATCGGATACCAATACGTTTTTGTGTCAAAATATTGGCTCGGATAATGATAAAAAACTCAGTTAAGGACATTCGTCCAGAACGTGCCCACGCAGCCTGAGCTGCCTGGGCCACCTGGCCACTCCTGTGTGGCTAGTGTGCCATTGTTTACAAAGCCAGTGCGGACGATTCCACGCGTACATGCGATACATTTTGTATTATTCCATTGTTTTTAGTGCTTGCAACTGCTAAATAAGCCACCATAGACCCAAAGAAAGCTTCAAGTGCCACTCCTGTGGTAAAGAGGGTAAGAAATACCATTGAATTGAAGAAAGAGATGATTGCAAAATACGAAAGTGGAGTACGTGTCTTCGAGTTGGCCAGGTTATATAACAAACCCCATTCAACCATCGCTACTATCTTGGCCAAGGAAAAGGCAATCAAGGAAGCTGTTGTTGCGAATGGTGCAAATATGCTTACAAAACAGAGATCGCAAATACTACTCGAAGATGTGGAGAGACTGTTGTTGGTGTGACTTAATGAGAAACAATTATCCGAGAAACAATTAACCCCAGAGGGTTAGCCACCCAGGATAATCCAAGAAAGTCAGTGTATCATCGAGGACTGTCTAACTTATTTCCATTGGGGTCCTTAATCTTGTCCCCCAGGATGTGACCCACACCAGTCGACTAACACCCAGGTGAACAGGAAAAAATGCCCGGAACTAGTGCTCATATTGGTGAATTTAAGGCCAGCAAAGGCATGGTGAAGCTTGAAAAATTCCAACCTCAACAAGTGTTCAATTATGACAAAACAGACCTGTTCTGGAAGAAAATGACAAACAGGACCTACATTACTCAGGAGGAAAAGGCACTCCCAGGACACAAGCCTATAAAAGACAGGCTAACTCTGAGGTTTTGTTGTAATGCTAGTGGAAATTGCAAAGTGAAGCCTTTACTTGTGTATCACTCTGAAAATCCCAGTGTTTTCAAGAAAAACAGTGTCTCATTACCCATCAATACCATTCAATAAAGGTGTCATTTTAGTATTTATGTATTTATTCTGCATGTCTCATTGTTTTCTGTGTAGGGAAATGAATATTTCATGTAAAAAAATTATTTTTTTTAACCCTTTCAGGGTTTCCGACGTACTAGTGTGTCTTACGCACTAGGGTTATTGACGTACTAGTATCCATAAATTCTAGCGCCTTCAAATCTAGTGAGAGAAAGCTGGTAGGCCTACATATGAAAGAATGTGTCTATGTGGTCAGTGTGCACAGTATAAAAAAAAATCCTGCAGCACACACTGCATAATGAGAAAAAACTTTGACAGTGTTTTTGGTTTAAAACACGACTTTGAAGTGTATTTTCGTATGGTATTTATGGTTGTACAGGTAGTAGGTTGGTAGACAGCAACCGCCCAGGGAGGTACTACCGTCCTGCCAAGTGAGTGTAAAACGAAAGCCTGTAATTGTTTTACATGATGGTAGGATTGCTGGTGTCATTTTTTCTGTCTCATGAACATGCAAGATTTCAGGTACATCTTGCTACTTCTACTTACACTTAGGTCACACTACACATACATGTACAAGGACATATATACAGACCCCTCTGGGTTTTCTTCTATTTTTTTTTTCTAGTTCTTATTTTTGTTTATTTCCTCTTATCTCCATGGGGAAGTGGAACAGAATTCTTCCTCCGTAAGCCGTGCGTGTTGTAAGAGGCGACTAAAATGCCGGGAGCAAGGGGCTAGTAACCTCTTCTCCTGTATATATTACTAAATGTAAAAGGAAAAACTTTCGTTTTTCCTTTTGGGCCACCCCGCCTCGGTGGGATACGGCCGGTGTGTTGAAAGAAAGAAAGAAAGAAGAAGATTTATGGTTGTATTCTAGATTTCCTGGTCTCATTTTATAGAATGGAAGACATATTACAGAAATTGAGATGATTTTGGTTGGTTTCACAATGAAAAGTACCTTGAAATTGAGCTCAAAGTAGCAGAAATGTTCGATTTCTGCCAAAGTTCAAAAGTAAACAAATCATGCCACACGTCCAATACACGTCAACTGGTGAGTCTAATATTCTTTCACAAGTGTGCTGATATTATTTATACCATTTCTACACTAATGCAGTAGTCTGCATAACAGTAAATCTTCTATTTTTTGTGAGAATAAAAATTCAAAGTGGAAAGTAAAAGAAATGTAAGAGGGGCCTGGGATGTGACTAATGAACAGAGAAAAACGTTATTTTAGTGCCAGGAATGTCTTTCTTGTTTATTCTGGACCCTATTTGGAAATTGGCATCTTTTGAAATTTGTGTGAAATTGGCAAAATTGCTAATTTCTGACCACTTTATTGAATAGTTGAAATTGATAAATGGGTGGTTTCTTGTACTCATTCGATAGAAAAAATGGAGTTCTAGTGAAATAGTCATGATTTTTGTCGACTCATACACTGGAATTGGGCAAAAATAGTGCTCAAAGTGGCGAAATCCCCGATGCGTAAACACTGTTGAGACCGCTAACTTCACGAGAGCATAACTCCGTAAGTTTTCCATCAAATTTCATACTTTTGGTGTCATTATGATCGGGAAAAGATTCTCTATTACTTCACAAGAAAAAATAATTTGTTTTTTTCCAAAAAATTTTTGATCCTGATAGCAAAGTTTAGGAGAGGGCCTCTCAACCCTGAAAGAGTTAATATTTTGGTTGTCTGGAACGGATTAATTGGATTTCCATTATTTCTTATGGGGAAAATTAATTCGGATAACGATAAAATCGGTTAAGGACAAACTCTCTAGAACGGATTAATATTGTTTACCGAGGGTCCACTGTATATGATCAGTAAGGTATGCAAAATATATTGAAAATTTTTATTATGAAAAATTAAGTGTTGATGGCTTGATTAACCTTAGTATGGCTGCCATGGGTGTGAAATGCCTTTATTAAATGAAGAGAGCATGTACAACATTCACTGTATGAAGAAAAATGTCAGTCAAATATTTGCTTAGTGGATGAATATTTAAGTAAATCATAAACTGTTGAATAACTGATACAGAAAGTTCAGCAATAATGATTGACACAATTTTTACAAACCTTACAATTAACCCGTAAACAGTCCAAACATATATACGTTCACTACTCCAGTGCCCCGGATATTTTGAAAAAATAAAAAAATATTTTTTTTATGGAAATAAATGAAGAGCAATTTTGTCAATTCACTGGAATAAAAAATGAAAAATGGGCCGAAATTCCCGGATGCAAAAACCTGTTGGCCCAACCATGAGTACCCTGCCCCTTTCAAAGTGTTTATGATAAATTTTTTTCTCTTTTTTTTTTTTTATTTTTGTTCTGATAAAATTTTACCTTAATATTAATATTTTGTTTCTAACTATTATTGGATTTTTTATTTTATAAAAATTTAAATTCAAACAAAAATCGGTTTGGAAAACCATTTAAATTGTCCGAGGGGAATTAGGAGGAGGAAGGAAAAGAAAAAAAGTGGAGGTGAAAATTGGGAGGCGGGGGGAAAGTTTAAAAGGAAGGAGGAAAAAGATGAGAAAAAGGGGAAAAAGGAGGGAGGAAAAAGAGAAAAAAGGAAAGAAGAGAAGTAGAAAAATAGAAAATAAAAAAAAGGAAAAGAAAAAAAAGGAAAGGAGGAAGAAAAAAAAGAAGGAAAAGGAATTTTAAGAGGAAAAAGAGAGGAGGAGGGAGAAAAGGAAGAGGGGAAAAAAGGGAGATAAGAAAAAGGAAAAAAAAGGAAAAGAAGGGGAAGGAGAGGAAAAGGGGAAAGAACAGGAAGGGGAAAAAGGAGGATGGAGGGGAGGAGGAGTAGGATTTAGAAGTGAGTAGTAAATAGTATAGTAGTTTTGTAGTTTGTAGTAGTAGTGTAGTAGGATAGTAGTGTAGTTAGTAGTAGTAGAAATAGTGAGTAGAGTATAGGAGAGTAGTATAGGAGTAGAGTAGTAGTGTAGTAGAAGTGGAGGAGATAGAGAGAGGAGTGGGAAAAGGGGAGGAGGAGAGGAGGTGGGGGGAGAAAAGGGGGGGGAAAAAAGGAGGAGGAGTAGAGGAAAGGGGAAGGAGGAAAAGGAGAGGAGGAGGGGGGAGGAAGAGGAAAGGAGGAGGAGGAAAGGGGAGGTGTGGAGGAGGAGGAAGGGGGGAGGAGGGGGGAAGAGGAGGGAGGAGGAGGAGGAGAGGAGGTGGAGGAGGAGGAGGAGGGGGAGGGGGGAGGGGGGAGGAGGAGGGGGGAGGGGGTGGGGAGGGGGAAAGGGAGGGGGGAGGAGGAAGGGGGGGAGGTGGGAGGAGGAGGGGAGAAGGAGGAGAGGTAGGGTTGTATATAGTAGGGAGGAGGAGGGGGAGGGAGGAGGAGTAGTAAGGAAGTAAAGGGGAGGAGGAGGAGGAGGAGGAGGAGGGGGAAAAGGAGGAGGAGGGGGGGGGAGGAGGGGGGAAAAAGGAGGAGGAAGGAGGGGGAGGGGGGAAAGGGGGGAGTGGAGAGTAAGGGGGAAGGAGGAGGAGGAGGAGGAGAGGAGGAGGGGGGTAGTAGAAGTATAAAGGGAGGAGGAAAAAGGGGAGGAGGGGAGGGAGGAGAGGAGTAGAGAGGGAGGAGGAGGAGTAGGGAGGGGGGAGAGGAGGGGGTTTAAGGAGGAGGGGGGGAAAGGAAAGGAGGAGGGGGGAGGAGGAGGAGGGGGGGAGGAGGAGGAGGAGGAGGAGGAGGAGGAGGAGGGGAGGAGGAGGAGGAGGAGGAGGGAGGAGGAGGAGGAGGAGGAGGGGGGGAAAGTAGTGTAGTAGTATAGTAGAGTAGTTATAGTAGTAGTTAGTAGTAGTAGTAGAAAGTAGTATTTAGTAGTAGTGTAGTATTTGTAGAAGTAGTAGAGTTAGTAAATAGTAGGAGGAGTAGTAATAGAGGGAAGGAGTAAGTTAAAGGTAGGAGGAGGGGGTAAATAGTAGGAGGAGTGTAATAGTAGGAGGAGTAGTAATAGAGGAGGAGGAAAAGTAAAAAGTAGTAGTGGAGGAGGAGGAGGAGGGAGGAAGAGGAGGAGGAAGGAGAGAGTTGGTGTAGTAGTATAGTAGTATTTGTAGTAGTAGTATTTAGTAGTAGTTGTTGGGAGAGTAGTAGTTAGGGATTTGAGTAGTAGTAGTTAGTTAGAGTTAGTAGTAGTAGTAGTTTTTAGTTGTAGTAGGAGTAGTAGTAGAGGATTTATGTAGAGGGGAGTTAGTAGTAGGAAGGAGTTAGAGGAAATTAGGGGTAGATATTAGTAGGAGTAGTAATATTAATAGTAGTATTAATTAGTGATAAGATGAGTATAACATAAGATAAGAGGTTGCCCATTTGATGAGCATTCGGCCCTCACTTTGTTTTTTTGGCTGGTACACAAACATGTTATGCTGTCTGTCATCTGTCTGTCAACTCCCTTTTATTTTGCCAGCTCTCTGTCTCAGAGGAACATTAAGACTGCATCATCACGTCACCACGTTTACTCATATCTTCAAGCAGAGTAGAGGACTTTGTCTGGATTTATTGGCTTATCCTAGGTAATTTACACTATGTATACTTGTATTTATGTGTACCTGAGAGACAAGAGACAGAGAGACAGAGATAGACATAGATACAGACAGACAAACAGAGATAGAGCCAGGCCGCCAGCAGCCGGTCAGCCAGCCGGCCAGCCAGCAGCAGGCCAGCCAGCCGGCCAGCCAGCCGGCCAGCCAATCAGCCAGTCAGCCTGCTGAACAAGTATTATGTTTCAGAACTGTTTCTCTTTACGTAGGGCATAGGTTATAAGACATTCTGAAAGGGTGTTGCACATATGTTGCACATGGGTTATTATCGAGGTTTTTTGATATTTCCTTGACAACTTATGGCCACATCCACCTCAAAGCCACTAAACTCAAGGTCAACATCACTTTCCTCTTAAAATGGGAGAGTTAATACTACATGAAATCAGTGAATCCCAGGTGTTTGCTGTGCTGTTTGCTCTAGCTGGCACTCATTTGAACTGGTGCTCCCACAAGGTACTAAGTGGTCCCAGATTTTTTTAATACAGTGCACACTGAGTGGTAAGACCCATTCTATGCTGACAAGGCATCTCAGGCCAATCGTGCCAAATTTGAAGGCAGGAAAAATAAAACGTACATATACGTTTAGGGCACTAGCAGTAAGAACGTATTTATACATTTGGACCGTTTACGGGTTAAGAGCTGTGTATCATAATCACAAATATAGTATCCATTTTTTATTACTACTGCACAAAAGAAAAATAAAACAGTTTATGGTAAACCTTAAGAGCTCATATATATAATTATATATTGTATATAACTCTATTAACCCTTAAACGGTCCAAACGTATATATATGTTCTCTCGCGTAGCGCCCCGAATTTTTTGAGAAAAAAAAGTTTTTTTTTAATAGGAAAAAAGGGTATATGGTACCCAGGCGTCCCCAATTTTTTTCATATGGCGCTCAGTGAGAGCGCACACCCATTCTCTCATGTCTAGGCAACTCAGGCTTATCATGCCAATATTGAATGAATGACAAAGGAAACGTATATGTATATGTTTGGGGCGCTACGCAAGAGAACTTATATATACATTCACTACCGTACTGCCCCAACTTTTTTGAGAAAAAAAAAACATTGTTGTTTTTTAATAGGAAAAAAGAGTATATGGTACCCAGGCATCCCCACTTATTTTAATATGGCACACAGTGAGTGCTCACACCCATTCTCTCATGACTAGGTGACTCAGGCTTATCGTGGCAATGTTAAATGTATGACACATAAAACGTATATATATGTTTAGGGCACTAGCGGTAAAAACGTATATGTACGTTTGGACCGTTTACGGGTTAAGGGTTAAAGTAATCTGCATGACCTACCTTTCATATTCTTTACAGAAAAATCAAACTTGTCAGCATCAACCGAATGTCCAGTTTCTTCTGAATAACGTAGGAGATCAGTTTTGCAACGAATCTTCTTTCCTTCAGGTCTGAAAAAGTATAATAATTAGGGTAAGTATAAAAAATAAACAATCCATTTTTCAATACCTATGTCCATTTTGGATGGCAAATATCCAAAAAACTAAATTAGAAATCACTAGCTGTACATAAAAACTGCCTTACCCTATTTGACTAAAACTTGTTCAAAAATTTCAGCTTCAAGAAAGAATAATAGAGACTAATCTTTCTTTCAACACACCAGCCGTATCCCACCGAGGCGGGGTGGCCCAAAAGGAAAAACAAAAGTTTCTCCTTTTAAATTTAGTAATATATACAGGAGAAGGGGTTACTAGCCCTTGCTCCTAGCATTTTAGTTCGCCTCTTATAACATGCATGGCTTACGGAGGAAGAATTCTGTTCCACTTCCCCATGGAGATAAGAGGAAATAAACAAGAACAAGAACTAGTAAGAAAAAAGAAGAAAAACCCAGAGGGGTATGTATAATATGCTTGTACATGTATGTGTAGTGTGACCTAAGTGTAAGTAGAAGTAACAGACGTACCTGAAACATTTCATGTTTTATGAGACAGAAAAAAACACCAGCAATCCTACCATCTGAAAAACAATTACAGGCTTACGTTTTACACTCACTTGGCAGGACAGTAGGGACCTCCCCGGGCGGTTGCTGTCTACCAACCTACTACCTTAAATAATAATTATAATAATAATCAAATAATAATAAAAATATTTTTTTTTTTTCAACAAACCGGCCGTTCCCACCGAGGCAGGGTGGCCCAAAAAAAAACGAAAGTTTCCTCTTTTAAATTTGTAATTATAAAAGAGAAGTTTACCTAGCCACTGCTCCTAGATTTTAGTTGCATCTTATACATGCATGGCTTGTGGAGAAGACAATCTGTTCCACTTCTCATGGAGATAAGGGAAATAACAAGAACAAGACTAAAAGAAATAGAAGAAAACCCCGGGGTATGTATTATATGCTTGTACATTAAGTTTAGTTGACCTAGTGTAAAATAGAAGTACAAGACGACCCGAAATCTGCATGTTCTGAGACAAAAAAAAGGACAAAACCAGCATCATGAAAACAATTAAGGGTTTCGTTTTACACTCACTTGCGACATGGTACCTTCCTGGGCGGGCTGTCACCCAACCCATACCTATAAATAATATAATTTTAATATAATAATAATAAAAAAAATAATAATAATAATAATAATAATAATAATAATAATTTTTTTTTAACAAGTCGGCCGTCTCCTACCGAGGCAGGGTGACCCAAAAAAAGAAAGAAAACCCCCAAAAAGAAAATACTTTCATCATCATTCAACACTTTCACCTCACTCACACATAATCACTGTTTTTGCAGAGGTGCTCAGAATACAACAGTTTAGAAGCATATATGTATAAAGATACACAACATATCCCTCCAAACTGCCAATATCCCAAACCCCTCCTTTAAAGTGCAAACATTGTACTTCCCATTTCCAGGACTCAAGTCCGGCTATATGAAAATAACCAGTTTCCCTGAATCCCTTCACTAAATATTACCCTGTTCACACTCCAACAGCTCGTCAGGTCCCAAATACCATTCATCTCCATTCACTCCTATCTAACACGCTCACACACGCTAGCTGGAAGTCCAAGCCCCTCGCCCACAAAACCTCTTTTGCCTCCTCCCTCCAACCTTCCCCTACAGATTTATATGCTCTCCATGTCATTCTACTTTCATCCATTCTCTCTAAATGACCAAACCACCTCAACAACTCCTCTTCAGCCCTCTCACTAATACTTTTATTAACTCCACACCTTCTCCTAATTTCCACACTCCGAATTTTCTGCATAACAGTTACACCACACATTGCCCTTAGAAAGGACATCTTCACTGCCTCCAACCGCCTCCTCGTTGCAGCATTTACAACCCAAGCTTCACACCCATATAAGAGTGTTGGTACTATTATACTTTCATACATTCTCTTCTTTGCCTCCACAGATAACGTTTTTTGTCTCCACATATACCTCAACGTACCAGTCACCTTTTTTCCTTTATCAATTCTATGATTAACCTCATCCTCCATAAATCCATCCGCTGACACGTCAACTCCCAAATATCTGAAAACATTCACTTCTACCATACTCCTCCTCCCCAATTTGATATCCAATTTTTCTTTATCTAAATCATTTGATACCCTCATCACCTAATAATAATAATAATAATAATAATAATAATAATAATAATAATATAGACAGACTTGAGTCCTGGAAATGGGAAGTACAATGCCTGCACTCTAAAGGAGGGGTTTGGGATATTGGCAGTTTGGAGGGATATGTTGTGTATCTTTATACGTATATGCTTCTAAGCTGTTGTGTTCTGAGCACCTCTGCAAAAACAGTGATTATGTGTGAGGTGAAAGTGTTGAATGATGATGAAAGTATTTTTTTGGGGGGGGTTTTCTTTCTTTTTGGGTCACCCTGCCTCGGTGGGAGACGGACGACTTTTAAAAAAAAAAAATAAATAAAAAATCTTTTATTTTACATGTACATGTACAAGGTATACAGGCCTAGCTGACATCAATGACATACTGCTATATAGAAAGCCGCTTGTTATGCAGAGCATTTTGGGCAAATTAAGTCAGTTTTGTCCCAGAATGTGACCCATACCAGCCGATTAACTCCCAGGTACCCATTTTACTGATGAGGAACATAGACAACTGGTGTAATGAAACATGCCCAATGTTTCTACCCTTGCCGGGAACTGAATCCAGACCCTCGCCAAGTGAAGTGAGAGCTTTAGCCACCACTAGTCACAAATGTCCAAGTTAAGGAGCAAAGTAAATATAACTGTCTATAGTTCACAATCTAATTTCTATATTGAAATTTGATTAAAGACCTTTCCTTTACAAAATAGCATTTTCAAAGTTCACTAAGTTTTTTTGTGTTTTGTTTTTTACTTGTGCAAATTGTAAGAAAGAGATTATAAAAGTCACAGCACAGTGGCTGGAACAATTTACAACTGACCCACAAGTTGGACATGAAACTAAATGACATTTCTATCCATCGTGGACCATTATCAAGCTGAAAGTGAGAAAGAAAAGATAAGCTAAGTCAGGTGACATCTGTACCCAAACAATATAAAAAACAGAAGATAACTATGCAGGAATAACAATTGGATAAACATATGCAAGTAGCTCAAGATGTTACATAAGAATAGAGAAACACTGCAATAGGCCTACTTACCCATGCTTGCCAGGTTCTACTCTCTACCAACAGTTACATGAGAATAGAGGAGCACTGCAGAAGGCCTACTGCCCCATGCTAGGTAGACTTTACTCACATCCAAAATGTGTGTGCTTAGGAGTGATTTGTAAAGAAAAGTATATTTATTTATGAAATGGAATTAGGCCAGAAATATCTGAGAGAGTTAGAGTTAAGAAAGGGGTAGCAATAATGTTGAAGAATCATTAAGGAAGGAAAAAGAGGGAATATAAATGAATAAATTCAAGGATTCCTAGGCAGCAGGTTGATAGACAGCAACCGCTCAGGGAGGTACTGCCGTCCTTCCAAGTTAGTGTGAAACGGAAACCTGTAATTGTTTTACATGACGGTAGGATTGCTGGTGTCTTTCTTCTGTCTCTTAAACATATAAGGTTTCAGGTACATCTTGCTACTTCTACTTACACTTAGGTCACACTACACATACATGTACAAGCATATATATATATATACACATCCTCTAGGTTTTCTTCTATTTTCCTACTAGTTTTTGTTCTTGTTTATTTCCTCTCATTTCCATGGGGAAGTGGAACAGAATTCTGCCTCTGTAAGCCATGCGTGTCATAAGAGGTGACTTTTTAAAATGCCAGGAGCAAGGGGCTAGTAACCCCTTCTCCTGTATACATTGCTAAATTTAAAAAGAAAAGCTTTTGTTTTTCTTTTTAGATCACCCTGCCGTGGTGAGATATGGCCAGTTTGCAAAAAAAAAAAAAAAAAAAAAAAAAAAAAAAAAAAAAAATCAAGAATTATGTGGATTGAGATAAGGGTCGGATGCAAAATGTGAGTTATAATAAGTGTGTATCAACCTAGAGAAGAGAGAAGTGTAGAGTAAAGAGATTCTGGGAGATTTTGAGTGCTTAGGAACTTTTGAATCAAATGAGAGAGTAATTGTGGTAGGGGTCCTAAATACTAAAGTGGGAGAAATGGTTAGAGAAGGTATGGTAGGTAAGTTGGGGGTGTCAGGTGTAAATGATACTAGGGGGGATGTCTGTGATTGAACTTTGTCCAGAAAGGGGCTTGGCAAAGGGTAATATATTCTTTACTTTCAACACACCGGCCGTATCCCACCGAGGCGGGGTGGCCCAAAAGGAGAAACGAAAGTTTCTCCTTGTACATTTAGTAATATATACAGGAGAAGGGGTTACTAGCCCCTTGCTCCCGGCATTTTAGTCGCCTCTTACAACACGCATGGCTTACGGAGGAAGAATTCTGTTCCACTTCCCCATGGAGATAAGAGGAAATAAACAAAAATAAGAACTAGAAAAAAAAACAGAAGAAAACCCAGAGGGGTCTGTATACATATATGTGCTTGTACATGTATGTGTAGTGTGACCTAAGTGTAAGTAGAAGTAGCAAGATGTACCTGAAATCTTGCATGTTCATGAGACAGAAAAAAGGACACCAGCAATCCCACCATCATGTAAAACAATTACAGGCTTTCGTTTTACACTCACTTGGCAGGACGGTAGTACCTCCCTGGGCGGTTGCTGTCTACCAACCTACCACCTAGGAAAAGTAATATTCTTTCTTTCTTTCAACACACCGGCTGTATCCCACCGAGGCGGGGTGGCCCAAAAGATAAAACCAAAGTTTCTCCTTTCAAATTTAGTAATATATACAGGAGAAGGGGTTACTAGCCCCTTGCTCCCGGCATTTTAGTCGCCTCTTACAACACGCATGGCCTATGGAGGAAGAATTCTGTTCCACTTCCCCATGGAGATAAGAGGAAATAAACAAGAACAAGAACTAGAAAGAAAATAGAAGAAAACCCAGAGGGCTATGTATATATACGCTTGTACATGTATGTGTAGTGTGACCTGAGTGTAAGTAGAAGTAGCAAGACGTACCTGAAATTTTGCATGTCCATGAGACAGAAAAAAGGACACCAGCAATCCTACCATCATGTAAAACAATTACAGGCTTTCGTTTTACACTCACTTGGCAGGACGGTAGTACCTCCCTGGGCGGTTGCTGTCTACCAACCTACTACCTAGGAAAAGTAATATATATTTTAATAAAAAAAAAAAAAAAAAAAGGATAAGTATACAAGATATGATAGAGAACAAATGACAGTAGTTTGTTGGACTATGTATTGGTAGATAAAAGACTGATGGGTAGACTCCAGGATGTGCATGTTCATAGAGGGGTCACAGATATATCAGATAATTTTTTAGTTGTAGCTACAGTGAGACTAAAAGGCAGATGGGATATAAGGAGAATGGAATCAGCAGGTAAGAGAGAGCTGAAGGTTTATAATCTAGAGAAGGAGGCATTTAAGTTAAGATATAAACAACTGGTAGAAGAAAGATGGGATAGTGAGAGTATTGGCAATGAGGCTATAGAGGTATGGGATAGATTTAACAATGTAGTGTTAGAGTATTCAGCAGACATCTGTGGTTACAGAAAAGTGGGTGTGGAAGGGAAGAAGAGAGATTGGTGGAATGATAAATAGTTAGCATATGAATAAATGCATATGAATAAATGATAAATAGTTAGCATATGAAAGGTTTTTACAAAGTAGAAGTGATACAAGGAGAGAGGAGCATATGGAGATAAAAAGAGAGGTTAAGAGTGTGGTGAAGCAATGTAAAAGGAGAGTAAATGAGAGAGTGGGTGAGATGCTATCAACAAATTTTGCTGAGAATAAGAAAAAGTTTTGGAGTGAGATTAATAAGTTGAGAAAGCCTAGGGAATGAATGGATCTGACAGTTAAAAATAGGAGAGGAGAGTTATTAGATGGAAAGTTAAGAGGTATTGGGAAGATGGAGGGAATATTTTGAGGAACTGTTAAATGTTGATGAAGATAGGGAAGCTGTGGTTTCATGCATTGCGCAGGGAGGTATAACATCATGTAGGAGTGAGGAAGAACCAGTTGTGAGTGTGGGGGTGTCTGAGGCAGTGGGTAGAATGAAAGGGGGTAAAGCAGCTAGGATTGATGGGATAAATACAGAAATGTTAAAAGTGGCTGGGGATATAGTTTTGGAATGGTTGGTGCTTTTATTTAATAAATGTATGGAAGAGGGGAAGGTTCCTAGGGATTGGTAGCAAGCATGCATAGTTCCATTGTATAAAGGTAAAGGGGACCTTTTGTCCCCTTTGCCTTTATACAAAGAGGTTTTGTGTGCAAGAGCCCCTGGACATGCAGCAGACATATGAGCATGTTAGATAGGAGTGAATGGAGACAAATAGTTTTTGGGGAATGATGAGCTGTTGATGTGTGAGCCAGGTAATATTTTGTGAAGGGATTCAGGGAAACTTGTTAGCCAGACTTGACTCCTGGAGGTGGGAAGTACAATGCCTGCACTTTAAAGGAGGGGTTTGGGATACTGGCTGTTTGGAGTGACATCTAAACCGTTATATCTGGGCACCTCTGCAAAGAGAGTGATTATGTGTGAATGATGGTGAAGGTGCTTGTTTCTTTTTTGGGTCACCCTGCCTAGGTGAGAGACAGCCGCAGTGTTATAAAAAAAAAAATAAAGCCTGTTGTACATACCTGGTAAAGTGTATGGCAGAGTTATATTGAAAGAATTAAGAGTTAAGAGCAGGATTGCAGATGAGCAAGGAGGCTTTAGGAAGAGTAGGGGATATGTAGACCAAGTGCTTTTAGTGAAACATACAGGTGAACAGGATTTAGATAAGGGTAAAGATGTTTTCGTTGCATTTATGGATTTGGAAAAGACATATGATAGGGTGGATGAGGGGCATATGTTGCAAATGTATGGAATAGGTGGTAGGTTACTGAAAGCAGTGAAGAATTTTTATGAAGATAGTGAGGAAGATGGACCACTATCTAATGCAAATTCCTGATCAGTCAGGATATAATATCTATGTGGGCCAGTGGGCCTCTAGCACAGACTGGTTGCTTAAGTGGTCAACAAGAAAGTGATGCCTAAGGCTGGCTTGTGAGAGTAGAACACTTCAAACAAGTCATATGTATATCAAAGGTGAAAGTGATGCAGCGATTCATGTTATTAACTGAGGAAAGTTGAAGTACAGTAGAATCTCCATATCTGCAGATTCAGTTACCATGGTTTCATTTATCCCTGGTTTACTGTGGCCCAAAAATAACCCTTAATTTTGCTTAATAATGGCCCCAAAGTGCAAAAGTAGTGATGATGCCAGTTCTCCAAAGCCCAAGAGAAGCCATGAATTGCTTCCTATCAGTGAAAAAGTGGTAATTCTCGACTTATTGTGAATAATTTATGAATTAAACTTTATCATAGGTATGTATGTAAATGAAAAACACCCTATATATACAGTTCGCTATTATCCACAGTTTCGGGTACCCATGGTAGGTACTGGAACGTATCCCCAACAGATATGGGGGGACTACTGTATACTGGAAAACCAATATGGTTAAAACCTTTATTTTAAGATAGCTGAACTTACGCCATATAATACATATCCCATTTCCCTGCTGTTGTTCCCATGGGTACGGCGGGTACAGCACTTCTTCCAGCCATTGTCTAGCTTAACAGTCACAAGGTTAGATGCTGTAAAAAACACTGTAATGTATTATTAAATTCCTGGTATTATAACAAATGCCATGATAAAATTTAATTATTTTTTAGAATAAATGCACCAAATTGCTTTTTAACTTCAGAATTCTATCCAACAAGGTATAGAATGTAAGCAAGTTATTTTATCCCCTATTTACATGGTATTTGCACAGAACAGCAATCTATTTAATCAGGATGTGATTCTACAAATGCTGATAAGAAAGAATACTGCAATTAGCCAGCATCTGAAGGCCAGGAAGATATATGATGAGAGTGGCCCTTTGTAAAGGAGCCTGCCATGCAGACATAATATTTATTAAAAACAGAATTATTCTTTGATTTAATGCTCAATTTTATAATGCATTTGAAGAGTAATATCTGTCCACTCCCTGCAAGAAAGCTACTGAATGGGTAATGATGTATTCCATTCTTTGGGCAACTCTACCATAGTGGGAAATAACTAATGTGGGAAATGGTTAATGGGTAAAAAAAAAAAAATGTATATATAAAGAACATAAAGGCACAATACAGCATATAAAGGCACAATGCTCCTATATGGGTGTGAAGCATGGGTAGCGAATGTTGCAACAAGGAGAAGGCTGTAGGCAGTGGAGATGTCATGTCTGACGGAAATGTGTGGTGTGAATATAATGCAGAGAATTCGTAGTTTGGAAATTAGGAGGAGGTACAGGATTACCAAAACTATTATTCAGAGGGCTGAGGAGGGGTTGAGGAGGTGGTTCAGACGTGTAGAGAGGATGGAACAACATGGAATGACTTCGAGAGTGTATAAACCTGTAGTGGAAGGAAAGCGGGGTAGGGGTCGCCCTAGGAAAGGTTGGAGGGAGGGGGTAAAGGAGGTTTTGAGTGCGAGGGGCTTGGACTTCTAGCAAGCATGTGTGAGAGTGTTAGATAGGAGCAAATGGAGGCAAATGTTTTTAGGACTTGATGTGCTGTTGGAGTGTGAGTACAGTAACATTTATGAAGGGATTCAGGGAAATGTGCAGGCCGAACTTGACTCCTGGAGCTGGGAAGTACAGTGGCTGCACTCTGAAGGAGAGGTCTTAATGCTGCAGTTTTATAACTGTAGTGTAAGTGCACCTCTGGCAAGACAGTGATGGAGTGAATGATGGTGAAAGTTCTTCTTTTTTGGGCCACTCTGCCTTGGTGGGAGATGGGTGATGTGTTAATAATAAAAAAAAATAAGGGCACAATATTGTGACTGGAACAATACATAAATAACACGCACTTAAGAAACTGAAACTTATGATGACATTTTGGTCCTACTTGGACCATTAACTAGTCACACAGAGAAGCACAAAAAAGAGCCCTTTCCTTTTCGTTTCTCTGTGTAACTAGTTAATGGTTCCAAGTCGGACCGAAATGTCATAAGTTTCAGTCTTCTAAATGCAGGTTATTTGTGTATCTGTATTGATATATATACATGAAATACTTGCACTCTATTGTCTTTTTTTAGTTAGCTCAATGGACATTAATATTTTAATTTGTTATAAATATTTAACTCTTTCACTGCCTCTCACATAGATCTGTGTCACTGAGACCAGAGTCACTTACATAGATCTATGTCTTAATTAAGGTGCCCTCAAATATGCTGTGATTAGCAAATTTGGGCACAGACGTGAAAAAGTGGGTCTTTGCAGTGACTATGCACAGCACATGTGTCCCATGTTGTGTGTGATGGAAACAGTGAATCCTCTGACCTTGTGTTTGGATTAAAATGCAGACTTGAGGAGTTTTCGTGTTGTTTTAATGGGTTTAATGGTAGACCTTAAAATAGAGGAAATATTTGATTTTTGGTGACTTTTCTAAGGAAGGGTACAGGTCCTGCAAATCATTTCCCCTGATCTGTCTGATGAGTTGTTATTAGGGTTGCTTCAGTTATTTGAAAGACCCAATTGATGACCAATCATCCTTGGTTATTGCATTAGCCAAGAAATGGGGTAAAACTTCAATATTTTGTGTGATGATGAATTCAAAATGGTGAGCATTACATAAGAGAGGCTTGGGGATGTGATTAATGAACAGACGAAATGCTGGTTTAGTGGCTGGAATGCCTACAGTGTTTATTTTGAACTCCTGTTTTTAAATTAGCATTCGTGAATTTTGTGTCAAACTGGCCAAATTCCCAACTTCTGGGCACTTTACAGGTTCTGATAGTTTAATGGGCATGTTCTTGTGCTCAGTTGATATCAACTGCTATCAACTGTTATTGTCTAAACTGTCATATATGAGCGCCTCTGCCAAGGCAGTGATTATGTATGAGTGATGGCGAAAGTGTTGAATGATCATGAAAGTTTTTTTCTTTCTTTTTGGGTCACCCTGCCTCGGTGGGAGACAGCTGACATATTAAAAAAAACAAACTGCTAGGACAGAAGGCAGCATACTAGTGAAACTTCCAGAAACTGGATTAGTTTGAGCAATGGAATTGCCATAAAATATACCTCAAAGAGGACGGAATTGCAATTATGTAACAAGCTACCTAACCTCCAACTTCACACCTGAGTAATTCCTTAAGTTTTCCATCAAATTTTTAATTTTTGGTATGATTACCTTCAAAAAAAAAGATTCTCTACCATTTCAGAAGAAATTTTTTTATTAACCATGACACTGTCGGCACTTCTAATTCTGGAGTTGCAACAGTGAAAGTTTTAAGTTTACATTAAACAAGAAAAGGCATAGTAATAAAAATAATATTTATATGGGAGACCATTTTGTATTTCAATTTTTTTTTCCTTAACACTTTTTTTTTGCTAACCATTATTAAACCTAAACATAATCCCATTATACAACCAAAGAAGTGATTATTTACTCACAGAGAGATAATTCTGAGATATCACATGTAGCAGCATCAGGAGTCTCACTGGAAAGTGAAAAATCAGTTTGTTTCAACAATGGTCCCTCTTCCTCAGTGCCAAATGCAGTGTCTCGGCTTCTCTTTCTGGAGCTTGGTGTCCTCTTGGCTTGTGCAGAGTGTAGCTGGGTGCTGGAGTCTTGGGGATGATGCGGTCACGTGAGAAGTTTTTGAATACTTAGGTGATGTTGGAGTATCTTCTTTTCTTCCATGAAACTAGGAAAAAATTATATGTAGTGGCTATGAAAAACAAAATTTTATACAGTACATTCAATTTCTGACTTTCAAGCAGTCTACAATAGACTAGAAGGAAAAAAATTTAATTAAGATCCCCATAATATGGTGAAAATAAATATAAATATTCCATTATTTTAACACACCTGCTGTCTCCCACCAAAGCAGGGTGACCTGTAATAGAAGCGAAAGTTTTTCTTTTTTTTACATTTAGCAATTTATAAAGAAGGGGTTACTAGCCTCTTGCTCCCAGCATTTTAGTAGCCTCTTATGACATGCATGGCTTACAGAGGAAGGATTTTTCTCTACTTCCCCATGGGGTATAAATAAATTCCATATACAGTGGACCCTCAGTTAACGCCTTTAATCCGTTTCAGAGAGCTAGGTTTTAACCGATTTAGCCTTTAACCGAATTCATTTTCCCCATAAGAAATAATGGAAATCCAATTAATCCATTCCTGCTGTCAGGAGCTTGACAGAATAGTACTTCAATACGATGCTATTATCAACTCTACGGCATATTTATCTATCACAACAGATCTAATATGACATAATAAGCAATACATATTAATAACATAGAAACATGATATATACTCCAGAATGAATAAAATATGTCATAATGTATGTGAGGATAAGTGATGGAAGATTTGTTGTTGGGTTTATAATGGCCACTGAGAGAAGCCGTATAGGTTTCTGCCACCACCACTATCCACAAACAATATATGATTTTTTTTTTTTTTTTTTTCAACAAGTTGGTCGTCTCCCACCGAGGCAGGGTGACCCAAAAAAAGAAAGAAAATCCCCAAAAAGAAAATACTTTCATCATCATTCAACACTTTCACCACACTCACACATTATCACTGCTTTTGCAGAGGTGCCCAGAATACAACAGTTTAGAAGCATATATGTATAAAGATACACAACATATCCCTCCAAACTGCCAATATCCCAAACCACTCCTTTAAAGTGCAGGCACTGTAATTCCCATTTCCAGGACTCAAGTCCGACTATATGAAAATAACCGGTTTCCTTGAATCCCTTCACTAATATGATTGTAATTTATAAATAAGAAATATTTACATTTTAATTTATAAATAAGAAATATTTACATTATAATTTATAGGTAGTAGGTTGGTAGACAGCAACCTCCCAGGGAGGTACTACCGTCCTGCCAAGTGAGTGTAAAACGAAAGCCTGTAATTGTTTTACATGATGGTAGGATTGCTGGTGTCCTTTTTTCTGTTTCATAAACATGCAAGATTTCAGGTACGTCTTGCTACTTCTACTTACACTTAGGTCACACTACACATACATGTACAAGCATATATATATATACATACCCCTCTGGGTTTTCTTCTATTTTCTTTCTAGTTCTTATTCTTGTCTATTTCCTCTTATCTCCATGGGGAAGTGGAACAGAATTCTTCATCCGTAAGCCATGCGTGTTGTAAGAGGTGACTAAAATGCTGGGAGCAAGGGGCTAGTAACCCCTTCTCTTGTATATATTACTAAATTTAAAAGGCGAAACTTTCGTTTTTCCTTTTGGGCCACCCCACCTCAGTGGGATACGGCAGGTGCGTTGAAAGAAAGAAAGAAAGATTTACATTTTAATTTATAAATAAATAAGCTTATTCAGGTATACACAAATACAGTTATGTACATAGATTATCATACATAGCAGCATATGTGTAAAGTACCTAGGATAACCCAAAAAGTCAGAGTGACTTATGTATTTCCATTGAGGTCCTTTTATATTTACACTTTTATATTTACACTTACCTTGGAGGAGATGTTAGTTTAATTAGTTTGATGGAGGAGATGCTGGCAGAAGTTTAGAGTGGTGGAAGATACATAGCAGGCCGGCGTATGTTCAGTTGCCCGATACACATTCAACAACATTGGAGAGTTACTTTCGTGTCGTTTTTCTATCGCTTACTCGCTTAACTTACTTGCTACACTGTTAATTCTACACTTTATCGCTGGCTGGCACTATAGCTCTTATTGATACCTGCTGCTTCAGTATTATACATATTGTAGAATCACTGAATCAGTGCAGAAGGCACATTCACCCCTCTCTCTTCCTCCTCCACTTTGGTACTTTGATACGAGTTTTTTCTTGAATTTTATTGTGTTTCTTTCCCTCTTTATCACAGGGCTGGCACTAGAAACTTTCTTTGGGCCCATGGTGGCTTATTTAGCAGTTACAAGCACTAAAAAAATGGAATAATACAAAATATATCGCATGTATGCATGGAATCATCGAATCATCCTCAGTGGCTTGTAAACAATGGCACACTGGCTGGTACACGGGGTGACTGGCCAGGCCCACTCAGGGCGCTGTGCGGACACGTTCAGGATGAAAGCTCCTAGCTGAGTTTTTAGGTGTTATCCGAGCCAATTTTTTTATGTCAAAGCAAGGCGTTATCCGATTTTGGCGCTATCCGATGCAGGCATTAACTGAGGGTCCACTGTACTGTATAAATGCAGAATACATCTAATGCCTGATCTCTGCAAATTTGCTTTTATTGATCTCATGAATTTGTAGCACTGGGCTATTCATGCAAATAACTTTTTTGTTAGAGGCTCAAGTGTCTAACAATTAAAATATTTTTTAATCTTTTAACTGTCTAACCTTTGATCTACATTTTACTGCTAGCCCCCATGACATCGATCAACGAACTATTTTTCCTGCCTTCAAATTTGGCACCAGAGGCCTGATAGGCCTAGGGAGTATAGAATGGGTCTTAACACTCAGTGTGTGCAGTATTGACAAAATCTGGAATCACTTAGTACCCTGTGGGAGCACTAGTTGAACTGAGCACCAGGTAGAGCAAACAGCATGGCAAACCCCAGGGATTCACTACTGCCATGTTGTATGAAGACTCCTTTTTTGAGGAAAGTGATGTTGACCCATGTTTAGTGGCTTTGAGATGAGTGTGGCCACAAGTGGTTGGGGAAATATCAAAAACTTAGACAATAGCCTATGTGCAACATTTATGCCACATCCTTTCAATTTAATGCAACTGGTAGTCATCCTGCCAGAATGTCCTATCCCTTATGCCCTAAGTAGAGAAAGAGAGAGACAATTCTGCAACATGTGTAATACATGCTCAGCTGGCTGGCTCTATCTCTATCTATTTCAGTCTATCTCTGTCTGCCTGTCTCTCTCTGTCTCAGAGAGAGCCGCTCATGAACCAGAATCAAGTACTAAGTAAGTATATTTAGGCACAGATACACATAAGTACAGTTATCATATATAGTGTAAATTACCCAGGATAACCCAAAAAAGCCAGACAAAGTGCTGTACTGTACTTGTAGATGTGAGGCATAAGCATGACTGTGGCAAGGAATATACACTTCTGCCACACTGGCCATTCCCAATGAGGCAGGGTGACCCAAAAAGAAAGAAAAACCCACAAAGAAAAATACTTTTATTATCATTCAACACTTTCACCATCACTCATACATAATCACTGTCTTTGCAGAGGCGCCCAGATACGAAAGTTTAGAAGTCCTTCTAAACTGCCAATATCCCAAACCCTTCCTTTAAAGTGCAGGCATTGTACTTCCCATTTCTAGGACTCAAGTCCGGCTAACTGGGCTCCCTGACTCCCTTCACAAAATATTACCCTGCTCAAACTCCAACAGCTTGTCAGGTCTCAAAAACCATTCGTCTCTATTCACTCCTCTTTAACACGCTCACGAATGATTGCTGGAAGTCCAAGCCCCTTGGCAACAAAACCTTCTTTACCCCCTCCCTCCAACCTTTTCAAGGACAACCCCTACCCCACCTTCCTTCCTCTTACAGATTTATACACTCTTCATGTCATTCTATTTGTTCCATTCTTTCTAAATGACCAAACCACCTCAACAACCCCTCTTTGGTCCTCTGACTAGTACTTTTATTAACTCCACATCTCCTCCTAATTTCCACACTCTGAATTCTCTGTATAATATTTACACCACACACTGCCCTTAGACACAACATCTCCACTGCCTCCAGCCACCTCCTTGCTGCAGCATTTACAACCCAAGCTTCACACCCATATAAGAATGTTGGTACCACTATACTTTCATACATTCCCTTCTTTGCCTCCATAGATAACGTTTTTTTGTGTCCACAGATGCCTCAACGCACCACTCACCTTTTTTCCTTCATCAATTCTATGGTTAATCTCATCTTTCACAAACCAATCCACTGACAAGTCAACTCCCAAATACCTGAAATCATTCACTGCTTCCATACTCCTCCTCTCCAATTTGACATCCAATTTTTCTTTATCTAAATCGTTTGATACCCTCATCACCTTACTCTTATCTATGTTCACTTTCAACTTTCTACCTTTACACACCCTCTGTCACAGTTGTATCCTTCTAATTGTACAGATGTGATTATTCTGCAAGTTTATGTGTGTGGAACAGTGAAAACAAATAAAAAACATATGGCAAGGTTCAATGGGAGAAGTGCAGAAACAGCAATGTTGAGTGACTGCACCATCAGCTAAGTAGAGTGATACTGTCTGACACTGTGCTTCAAGGAGTTTCATATACTCTAGCACTTATAAAAACATTGCTGCGATCTATAAGTAATTTGTATATATTTCTAGACAAATGGCATGTGGCCAAGGCAGGCAAACATGTTCTCCTGTGTGTTTGTGACTGATTACTATTTCCGTAACTAATACTAATGTCAGAACAATGACTGGCTATGATATCACAAGATCTACTATAACTGTATTTTTTTTTTTAACACATTGGCCGTCACTGCCTCGGTGGGAAACGGCCGACGTGTTAAAAAAAAAAACTAAGATGGCAGAGTAAGAATTGTTAATAACTGGAATGCAGGACTTGTAGTATTTTAACCCCTTAACTGTCTAAACATAGATCTATGTTTACTCGCCCAGCACTCCAAATATTTTTGAAAAAAAAAAAAAAAAAAAAAAAAAAAATTGTAAATGAAGAGGACTTTTTTTTACATAAAG